ACCTACGCAACAGAGATACAACGCCATGCATCAGTGAAACTGACCATCCGATCCCATTATCAGCTTCGATCGACAACACTGAAAATGTATTCTAACCCGCATCTGCACTGATCGACAATAACTCCTGGAACCAAAGTATCTGACCAACCCACCTTTCACACTGTAAACTTCCACATCGTAGCAGTTGAGATTGGAACAGGCCAGTGATGCGTCATTGTCTCCCGCCATGGCGTAGCTTGTACCAGGAGCCAAAGAACCGTTGAGTGGGAAGGATGCACCGCTCAAGGCCACAGTCCCGTTGAAACTGTAAATGTCATGACCACCCCCGAAAGTAGGGCCATAGGTCGCGTGTCCGTAAATTGCATTTGTGCCGTTTGTTGCTGGGTATTTTTTAGGGCTGCTGGGACCTTTGAAGTACAAACGGAACAGGAATGCTGTCGGGTCGACCTTGTAGGCACCAGCAGAGTCCCAGCTGACCGAGGTGTAGCCACCAAACACGCAGTCCGACGTGTTATAGAAGACAGTGACTGTAGGCCCGTTGTTGTCACACTTCTGGTGGAAGGCGGTGCTGGAACAACCATCACGGGAGGCCTTGTACAGAAGTTCAAAGTCTTTCCTTGCGTTTAACCATCTGTAAAATGAGATAGGGGTAAATGATGACCATTGCCTTCAGTGCCATTACTGCTACTATTTTATACTGCCATCGTAATTGTGAAGTCACTAAATATGAATCGTCACTCTATTTTGTACAGCCATTGGAATTACCATACAGCATTAATTTTAGAATATAATTAGTAATTGTGAACATTTTATGATTGTTTTCTGGTGTTATCCACCCACTCCATTTGCGTGCAGAATTTACGTATTGTTTTAACTTGGAAATCAAAACACCTAACACTATAATCATCATAACCCGCTTTATTAACACGCCTCTGTCGTGTGCACCATGTGCTAAAGCCTTTGTTTTATTGTTTCACGAATTTCCTTGAGGAAGTATCATTTCTGTTTACAGCTAGAATTTCTCGGTAAGAAGTCGAAAAATAGAATGTCTAGTTTCCGTTTCTCTTTGGAGAAATAGGGTTGGTACAGTTAAACTATTGTAATGCAAGCACAGAAGTCAGGCATCAATTTGTTTTACAGAAATATTCATGCTGCTTCTATTGTAAATTATGCCATCTCTTTTGCGTCAGCATGTTTCGTAATCCTTTCAAAAAGGACGATTTTGAATGCCTTCACCTCCCACCTCCTACCTCCCACCTATCCCGGATATTTTCGATTCGTCTTCACACGATGAACATACCCGTCCCGCTATGAAAATACAAATATTAAATAAATAAGACAAATAGGCAGTATGCCAAAAATTCTTTTCTAGGTCATCGCATGGAGCATAAGCAGATCACTGCTGACGACACATATTAATTGATGAATAACTTCATGACTTGCCCGGTTTCGAATGGATAACAAGGTCGAAAGTAAAACGTGCTAGGCGGATCGCCTCAATTACAAATCTGGGTACATATCAAGATAACAGAAACGGTTTTACCGTTACAATAGTTCCACAGCCTCGTACACTCACTCTGACACGCCCAATAAATATCACACTGTCTGGCTGACTGATCCCCTCGTACTTACCTCACTGTGTGCAGTGTTGTCGTGACTTCCTGTCACGTGATTTCCAGGAAAGCGAAGTCTGAGGAAAAGGGAAGTTGCTCTGTAGGGCATATTTGATTGTTTTGTGTCACGAAAGATGTTTAATTTAATTTTGATTGCTACAGGGAACAAAGAAATACATTTGATCGATGTTACCCAAGCAATTAAGACATGCAATTTGAAAATGAGATATAGAATTGCACTTCATCTAATGAACCACATATTATAACCAGTTAAAATCCATTATTCAGCTTAATCAGATATTTCACTCTTATTCTATTGAATATCTCATATGTGTACACAGACACAAATGCGTCTTTAAATAGATATCAAAACAATGACTACTTTATGTTTATGTTTATGGTAATCCCTCTTGAGTTAGAGGGAGATTATAATCATTTCTTTTTCCGCATTCTTCACTGAGCCGGGGCGGTGAGGTAGCTTAGTTGTTAAAGCGTTGGTTCGTCACGCTGAAGACCCGGGTTCGATTCACCACATGGGTACAATGTGTGAAGCCCTTTTCTGGTGTCCCCCGCTGCGATATTATTGGAATATTGCTGAAAACTCACTCACTCACTCACGTCACGTCAGGATCTGGGAACCCCCAGGTGAGCGTGTGAGAGCTTTCTCTTCACCCAATCAACATGAAGGCTTCTACGTTCTCCTTACAAGAGGGCGAAACGCGTATATTTACACATTATGTCCTCGATTAACACCATTACATCAATATTTGTTTCCGCTTGTAAACATAAATATTTGAAAACAGAAGATCTGAAGATGATCTGATTAAAATGTTAAGAAAACACGCATCGGCGTGATGCTAAGAATATGCAACTATTAAGTTAGTGATAAATCGCATCCCGCAATAGCAACATCTCCGCGACATAAACATATACTTTGTTTGTTTGTCTGTTTGTTGTCTAACGCCTCACGCAGCAATATATACTGACGAGCAAAAGAAAGTACACAGGTGTAATTGTTGTTGCAATCCCAAATATGCGTTCTAACTAATAAAATTATTGAAAAACATTGATTGTATAGAACGCAACCATCATGTTTCATTTGCCAAAATGCAACCAAAAACATTTGTACGTGTTTTGGACGAGTTTTTGTAAAATTGTGATTATTGTCCCATGCACCTGCACTTTTCTGACAGAGAGTATAAAACCTGTTTGTCGTGAAGACTGAACAATCACTTGACAGAAATCTCACGAGAAAATGCCAAGAATGACGTCGGCGCAACGAGAACGGGCCAAAGGAATGACACAAATGGGTGCTTTCAACAGCGATATTGCAAGGACATTGGGTTGCAAAATACAAACCATAATTCGGCTGTTTAACCGTTTCAGTACGACAGGCCAGACATGTGATCGACCCAGAAGTGGACGTTCCAGAGTCACAACACCCCAAGAGGATCGTTATCTGCGGGTTATTCAACTACGCAACTGGATGTTGACGGTGACGTCATCAGAAGCCACATCATTGGGTCATCGCGTAAGCCGATTCACAGTGGCAAGACGACGTCCTCCTGCTGGCATGTATGGGCCTACCGACCGCTGCGTGGAATGGCCTTGACCTTCCAGCATCGTAGGAACCGCCTGCAGTGGTCATCACTACATCGCTGTTTATTGTTACAATGTCATTTTGCTGATAAAACACGTGTATTGCAGTGTGCTTCAACATACATTTTCCATTTCATCAAAAGGTTTTGTTATTTTTATCTTATTGGGAGAAACACAACCTGTGTACTTTCTTTGCGCATCAGTTTATGACAGCAGATTGTAGACAACTGAGTCTTGGCCAGGCAAGCCAGTGGTTTACATCATGAGCACTCCTTAATTGGGATAAGATGAGTTGCATCAACCAAGCCCGCAAGCCTGATCCATCCAATCCAGTTGGTCACCTTTTTAGAAATTAGGACAAGCGTGGGTGCTGTAAACCAATTCTTACCAGCATATTCTATTAAGGCTATACTTAGTCAGGAACACTACGATACTTGTACTCGTATGTGAGTATGTTCACGTCGCTTTTAGCAATATTCCAGCAATATCACGTCGGGAGACACCAGAAATGGGCTTCGCACATTGTGTCCATGTGGGGAATCGAACCCAAGCCTTAAGAGTGACGAGTGAAAGCCTAATCACTTGGCTTTCCATATAACTCTCTTTACCATTTTATAGTGTGCGGATTCTGTGTCAAGGTAAGAACTACTAAATATGCGAAGGTCTACGAGATAAGAAGACACAGGCGCAAATTTATAAATGAATTTATTCATTGATTTAAAAAGGCTGAATCTTGAAAAAATGAAAATTGAATTTAGAGGACGAAAGCCTTTAGTATCGGGTATCTAAAAAATAGATTATTTGTCCGAGGGTGAGTTTCTCAACATCTACTTAGAAATAGGTAAAATGCATCAATACTTCATCTCTAAAGCTGTGGGTCGTATGAGCACGGGTTGCGCTGGCGCCAAGCACTTTGGGGGTATAAATTTCCTAATTTCAGTATGTGCACTACAGGTTTTGGGACTGATTTAAAAGGCGACAGCACTACAGTTTAACCTTTCCTGACGTGGCAGGACTTTCCGAATATATACGAATATGGGTAAGTCATGAGCATGCATGACGCAGGAATGATGTCGTGTGGCAACATCGATGCTGACCGGAACATTAACCCACGCGGTTATTAGCCGAGGAAGGACGTTATTTGCCATCGGTGAAGTGCAGGATCGTCCAAGACCTGGAAGACCGAGGAGACCAATGACTGTGATGACCAGGTCCTGCCAAGACACAATCCCTGATTGAAAGTAAAGTGTTACTTGCTACATTTGATAGTTCAAAGTTCTCCTACGATGTGAACGGCTTGCTAATTTTACGGTCACATACCACTTTCGAAGCGACTCATTAGCAATAACATTAGAAGGTTATTCCGCAAATTTCGAAATATCTTCAAAATGTTAAAATGTGTTATGTCTTTTAACTCCGCATGTAACCAGTGAGTGAGTGAGTCAGTGAGTGAGTGAGTGAAGTTTTACGCGCTTTAAGCCATATTCCAGCAATATCACGGCGGGGAATACCAGAAATGGGCTTCACACATTGTGGGGAACCCGGGTCTTCCGAGACTTCCTCAACAAGAGAAACTGGTGAATGATATTATGAGCAACGTTGATATGATACAAGGTGTCAGAGCTTGACCACCAGATCAAGGACAAGCATACAAGCTTCCTGGCGAATATATTCCACAGACTTACGTAGTTACCCACTGGTAGGGTTTGTCTCAAATGGCCCGCTATATGTTCAGGGCACACAGGCGGCTCGGGTTGCACAGTCGCTTGACAAATTATTTTTACAGTATTACAAGCTCTGAAACCTTTATTTTTCAAACCAATATGATCGAGCTCTTTTCAATAACAAAGGAATCCGAAACCTACTGGCAGTTTCCATACATTTGACTTGAATAGTCATGCAAGAAAAAACAATAATTACAAACTTTAAAACCAAAAGGCTTTACGTAATTTCATATGATTCTGTTTATTTTCAGATAGTAAGCTCCTTTGATGATATAAAATTGAGGCCATGTCAACAGAATCGTCAGTTGTGATCTCAGCACCATCGTCATAGTCAATCGACATCTAAGCGATAACAAACCACACATCTATCACATCCAAATGAAAGGAATTTTCACATACACAAGTTGTCTCATTTCCTCAGTACAGAAAAGGCATGTCACGTTTATGGGTCTTTGTCACCATAACTGACCGGAACCGAATGTTTCCCGGAAAAACATTGACACTGTTCCAAGTTTCGTTTCTCTGAATCTCAGATGCGATCTGTTACCCAGCTGTCCATTTAATCAAAAGTGGGAAGACATAGCGTGACTTCTTGTAGATTAAATAAAGTCATATCTATATCCGATAGATATACAAATATATTGAACCGAATACTTAAAGCAGTAGCACTTTATATTGCTGGATTCAAGAAAGGTGAGGCAAGTTTTGATTTTGTAGGTTACATCGAATGTGTTCTCATCATGATCAACCATAAATCTCATGTACTAGCTGTGTTCCCAAAACGGTGCTACTTCATTGAGATAAGCCAGGGGTGAAAAGGACAACGTATATTTCATTTTTGCGATTAGAAAAACGGTACATTGGTCTGGTTGTTTATGACCAAATGGAGTAATGAATAACATATATTTATTCATCTTTATCATCCTCATCCAGGAAGTTGTAGAGATAGTCATCAGCGAATCTTAGCATCTGACGGAGGCTGATCAGAGCAGGAACATCCACGTCATCCACCAACTCCATTTCCTTCTCGTAGTTCTTCACGGGCAGAACGTGGGCACGGGGCAGACCAATGAGTTGGGACACTTGTTCCACCAGTTCGCTGACTGCAGGGCTGTAGAACAGGGTCCCCGGATCCTCTTCAACATGTGGACAGGCCTTATCCACCTTGGTCAAGATGACCACTTGTGGTATACCTGCATAGAATAAAATTCAGAACAGAACTAATTTTGACTTCCCTGGTGAGTCATATTTAAAATCAATATATCAAAGAAATTAATACAGATTTGATTGAGCGAGAAAAAGCCAAATAAGTTTTGCACGGTCTAAACGAAATGAATAAGAAAATATAGATAAATAAATTAAAATGCGACCGAATACCTCACAGTGAAACAACGTGGCAGTCGCGTTGAGAACACTAGACATATATATATACATGTAACATGTTAGGCTACGGTTAGATTCAGGTGACAGCACTGTAACTTTAAGCTACATAAAATATCACATTTACATGATACTAATACAACTATTTACGCTGGGTCTTACAATTAAAGAGAAGATCCTTCAAACAGGTCTTACAATTCACGTATAAAACTTCCCAGCTGCTCTCACATGACAGTAGTACCACTCGCAATGACACAGCGTGATATCTACATGTACATGTATAGGACTCCTGGCAAGAGTAGTAGTAGGTTTCTCAAGACAGTTTCAAATGAAATTCCAATTTCCACCGTCTGAAGTTGTTAAATTCTGTTTGTTGTTTGACGCCGCACTCAGCAATATTCCAGCTATGTGGCGGCGGTCAGTATATATTCCAGTGATCAACAGTATGAGCATCGATCTACGCAGTTGGGATACGATGATATGTGTCCACCAAGTCAGCGAGCCTGACCACACGGTCCCGTTAGTCGCCTCTCACGACAAGCATGGGTTGGCATCTGAAGACCAATTCTAACTCTGGCCTCTTCGTGGGTCAAAAATATTTGAGTTTGTTTACCTCTCTGGTTGGCTTTCTGTTGTATAGCTTTCATATTCTGCAGAATTTTGTCCGGGAACACGTCTACGGAACAGCCATCAATGACAAATGCCACACAGTGTATCGTGTCTTGTGTTTTGGGGGTCTTCTTGTATCCAGGGGTGTCAGGCGAAATAGATAGAGCTGGGTTAAACTGGGAACACAAAACAGTGGGTTTGAAACAAACATAGTCTGCGTGCTCTTATATTACAGAGTGAGTGACTGAGTATGATTTTAAGCCGCTTTTAGCAATCTTCCGGTAATATCACACCCGAAGTTCACACATTGAAACAAAATCCGAAATCAAACCAAGGTCTTCAGTGTTTTGAGCAGACGCTTTTCCCATAAGGCCATCCCGATATCACAGGGCCATCATAGACTGTACATATTAAACTATGGACCGAACCACAGAATCACAAGCACCTGGGTACAGTGTTTTGTGAAATAGCCAAGGCACAGTCACCGGGGGCCTACTGTGAACCGAAATCATTCGTGACCCACTCGTGTTATACTGAATACCTATTACGGAATGGGGCGAATGATGACGAATGATCCGACTTAACCATATAAGTAAACATTTATTGATCAATGACAGTATTAATACACAAATAAGATCTGTTATATATGTTTTCGAAAGCATACTGTCGTGAATGGATCTGCATGAAATACCAATACCTGAAGCGGACGATGTTCCAGACCTTCACGTATCAACAGGGACGTCAAATGATACTAAACGTTATGTAGAAATATGTTGAATAAGGATTTAGGGTAGCATATAAATTGTGGATTAATTTAACTAAAACGAACTAAGTTACACATATTTGGACGAACATGGAATACCTATACCAACCGAGGCATTTGACTAGTCATTTCATTGATCATCATTTGCTTCTGTTTGGGTTTTGTATCGATGATGCGAGATCTATTATCTAAATAGCGTCATGAAGTACCATATATTTGTCAGGAAGGTGTCCATCCAATATGGCTACCACATCAGCCGCGTCCATTCCTTGGGCTTCCTCTAGGCCCCTCGTGTCACACAGTCGGAACTTGAGTGGTTTACCCTCAGGGGATCTCACTTTATACTTCCGATACTAAGAGAAAATACATGTCAGAGTTTCCTGCCCTTGGTATCATTACACTATGTTCATGTGCATAACGCAAACATGGATCTATCGAGATATGCCAATAAACTTAATTTAAAACTTTATAATTGTTATACTCATACATGAGGAAAGAATAATTAAAGATTAATAAATCTAGCAAATGAGTTTACATTTAAATATGTATATCTATCAAAGGGTTTGATAATCCCGCTTCTCATAGATCTATGAATCATCAATAAAATATGTCAACAACAATGTCAAGAGAACACATGATTTATATATATATAGCATCTTCCAGGTTACTACGAGTACACGTAGTTTTCACCATTTCAGGTTTGTCGATCGAACGCACGTTTATTATGATGGTTCTGATTAACAAGTAGGACAACTGTCCAGCGATGTTGTTAAAGTTGAATAATGTACGGGAACAATTTTTTCTACGTTACTTACGGAAAATTTTGGTTTAGGGATTAGAGCAATTTCGGAATATGCATAGACTTGTCTCCAGCAAAACTATACTGTAAGCCATTAAAAACGCAATTGGTATTTGTTGTCCTGAAACTTACAAAAGTTCTATTGAAGATTTTTTCCTGCGATACAGAGGATGTAGGGATAAAAGGCTGTTATTCTTGCCCATTTCGAGTTCGAGTCCCGGAGCATTCCTCTCACATGAACTTTGATACTTAAAACTGAACCTTTGACATTTCTCGTAAACACAACCACATTCATGAAACACGTTGTGCACATGCATTACCTGCACTCAGGCCCTGTAAAAGCACAAGGAATTGTGGAACTCAATCACTTTGAGAAAATGCCACACTTGACACAAAACGAAAGGAATCAGGTTATCGGTATGGTCAGCCAAGGTGCTTCAGATGTGATGATTGCCAGGCACTTAAATGTGCATCCATTCACTGTAAGTCGACTCAGACAACGTTTTCGGGCTACCGGAAGTGCTGCTGACCGTCCGCGACCTGGTGCACCACCTGTGATAACAGCTGGATAAAACCGCAATATCCGAGTTTAACACTTGCGAAATCGGTTCCAAACAGCTGATGATTAGGCAGGGAGGACAATTGGAACAAGTCAACGTCATTTCAGCGCCCAAAAGGTGCAAGGACCCCTTGCTGCCTTCAACACCCGGTGTCGTCAACCGTACCGTGGTCCAACCTTATTGCATCGCCACAGACTTGCCAGACAGCGATGGGCAGCAAATGGGGCCAATCTTGGCAACAGGACATGCCCAGATGTCATTTTTTCAGATGAATCCAGGTTTAACTTATCCTTTGCAGATGGACGTCAACAGATTTATCTACGTAAAGGTGAAAGACTTGCGCCAAACTGTGTCCTTGAACATGATCGTTTTGGAGGGGGTGGTGTCATGATCAGACCACAGACCATCAGAGGCTGCAGACCATCTAACAGCTGTTCCTGAGAAATGTATGTCTTTCAATGCCCCAAAGATTGCGAGCATGTCTTGCAGTGCACGGTGGACACACAGGATATTGACTGCAAGTGACCACTCCTTTGTGTGATGTCGTTGTTGCGTCACTGATGTTGTTGACTGGACATTTTCAGATGAAATTATTCACAGATGTTCACTTAAAACATTTCTGCCAGTTAGGTTTATATATGTTGAAATTAGTGTGAGTAAAGAAAGTATGAATGTCAAATTGCATTTTTAATGGCTTTCAGTATATAATCGCTCCATCATTAACGCCTTAAAAAGACTTGACTTTCTTAGTTACCTCCCTTGCCTCGTGAAGATGCGTGGGATATGGTGTTAGATCCAGAATGTGTTCGTAGTGTTTGGACATTCGTAGGCCTATGTTATACTATTGAATTACGACAGATCGGAAGGTTACGAATTCTTTGTGGATCGGGACCCTGATATAAGCTGCATTCTAGTAGGTCACCACGACAAGGAAGTCTACGGAAACTTTTCTTTTTGTGTTTTCTTTCTCCTGTAGTACTGTAAGAATATTCTTTTCATGAACAAGGCGGAAACTTTCACACACAAATATCACAAAACGACTCACATGCGTCGTAAGACTGTGTTCGGCACTTCCGCTGCAGGCTTGACTAGTCACGTGACCTCTGAAGATTGAGTTCATGGTGTTGAAGTAGCTGGACTTACCGGCTCCTACCGCCCCCACCAGTAGAATATTGACTCGTCCCACCTTCACCCCATCGATGGGGGAATATGTTTCGATCTCGGATTTCAGAACCTGAAGCACAGACATTGATGTCAGTAGGTGCAAGATGAGTAATAGCTTATTAAAAATGACACGCATTCCACAACAAAATCAATATCACTATGCGTATGATAAAATGGGGGTAAAGTGTAACAAGCGTATAATTGTAGAATCCGTGATGAATGAGTGAGTATGATATCACGGCGGGGGACACCAGAAATGGGCTCCACACATTGTACTCATGTGGGGAATTGAACCCGGGTCTTCAGCGTGAGGAGCGGACGCGTTAACCCCAAGGCTAACCCACTGTTCCCTGGGTATAGGTCCGTAAGCAGGTCACGGCACTTCGCGAGACCTTAGTACTCCCGGTATATAGGTAGACGGTTATTGTTCATAGAGATTAATGTTGTCCAATATTTAATACATTTAGTGATGTGATAACCATACAGTCGTTGTCTTGCAGTTTCCCTTAGAACAGTGTCGTTGTTTGCATTAACTGGCAGGATAAGTGAGTGAGTTTAGTTTTACGCCGCACTCAGCAATATTCCAGCTATAGGGCGGCAATCTGTAAATAATCGAGTCTGTACCAGACAATCCAGTGATCAACAGCATGAACATCGAACTGCGCAATTGGGAACCGATGACATGTGTCAACCAAGTCAGCGAGCCTGACCACCCGATCCCGTTAGTCGCCTCTTTCGACAAGCATGGGCTACTGAAGGAACATTCTAAAACCAAGGAATCAAACATCCTAATTGCAGTATTTATTGGTTGACCTCCAGATAGATCATGTATGTTATAGATGTTGGGCATACTTTCTCAGGTTGATGTGAAATGTGCTAACGTTGCTTTTGTCATTACCAATTTAGGAGTGAAAGATACACTATTCAAAAAAGGAAACGCATAGGCGTTTTCAGCAGTTCATTTCAAAATATTTTGATAGCAATCGTCATTAAAACGATTTGTATGTTTGAATCCCGTTAATCATGTCGTGGTTGTTGTGTATTGAGCGCAAGCACAACCCTGAATGTGTTTCTAAACGTTAGTCATTACAAATGAAAACGATACATGAAAAGAGCACGCCGGAAACGTTGTAATCGTAATGCACATGCAATGTGATGGACACATGAGCGGAGACATCAACTAAAAGAGGCCAAACCACATTCATCCTTTCATTACGAAATTCACGTAAACGAGGAGAAAAAATGCTGAGATTGAATGCTACTGACCGAAATATCGCCATTGGACGTTTGGAAGCAGTGGAGTCCCAGTCTGCCTTTGCAAGACACTTCAACGTCCACCACAGCACCATATATCGATTATGACATTTGTTTACCCGCTTCGATTCGACGCAAGATCCTCCCAGACCAAGTGGATGACCAAGAGTGACCATTCCTGCTCAGGGCCGGGTGTTTCACCTTCGTCACCGACTTGCTACAGCAACGGACACTGCAGTACAGGTGCCTGGTCTTCGAAGAATTTCCGAAGAACTCTCAGAAATCGTCTGAGAGAAGAGGGAATTCGAGCATATCTACAAAAGCTGACACGACTACATCGACAACGACGTGTCAAATGGTGCAACAGAGTACAGGTATGGGGCCCGGGGAACGCATGGAACGTGTTTGTTTCAGCGATGAATCGCGTTTCCTTCTACAACAACGGGATGGAGACGACGAGTTTATCGACGTCGATACGGAACGTTTTGCGCCGAACTGCTCCCAACAGAGGGGAGGTGAAATTGGGTTTTACGTCATGCTTGAGAATGTTTCGCTCATATGACGACGTGCATGCGTGTGTATGTGTATGCGCGGTTGTTTGTACTAGCCCAGACTTAAGCTGGTTTTATAGTGCTAGCCCACTGAGATACCATGCCGCAGTGAAGCATGACTACCCCACTCAGACACATTATACTGACTCTGAGCCGACCAGTCCTTGTTGTACCCATTACTGCCGAGCGCCAGGCAGGGACCAACAAGTACCATATTTTAATGTCTTTTGGTATGATGCGGTCGGGGATCGAACCAGCGACCTTCCGCTCTCTGGGAGGACGTTCTAACCACTACACCACGGAGGCGGTCCACTCCCAACAGATGACAGATTTGGTGGGGAAAGTGTCATGGCGTGGGGCGACATGTCCTACACGGGTAGATCAGATCTACCGGTGGTTCAAGTCACTCTCATACAGCAAATGGCTACATCAACCAAATCCTACGACCTCACCTCCTCCCACTTTTTAACGTCCAGAGGGAACTGTTTCAACACGACAACGCTTGACCCCACACAGCTCGTGTAACAGGTGCCTATCTCGCCAATGTGTCCTTCGCTGGCCTTCAAAATCACCTTATCTGAACCCGACCAATCACCTGTGGGACGAACTTGATCGACGCGTCCGTAAACCTCAGACATTTACAGAACTTGCCAAAGCATTGCAGTAAGAATGATGAACAATTCCCCAAGCAAAAAATCCAACGACTTGTGAAATCCCTCCCTAGGCGGTGTCGAGCAGTGACGGCTACAAGGGGTGGTGTCACCAGATACTGACCTGGACGCCCCCTTGTGTCCTACCGTGCAGTGAGTAAACTGAATTAATGCTGACAATGACAACACTACATACATTCATCTGTGTGTCGAATTCCCTTCATCCATGTTCAAGCATAATCTACTTACGTACATTTGAGTACACTAAATACTGGGACAGTTCATGAGATATATATTATCAAAATCAGTAAGCGATGTCATATAAGTTTGAAAATGTTTCGCTATATATGCCTAAATGCTGCAATCTGACCCGAAATTTAACATTGCAGAATACAACGGCAAATCATGAAGTACTTGTTACATTCACTGTTTTCTATTTTGTCCAATTACGCACGTCGGCATAAGTCTCGCTATTTGTCAGTAGTGTGTGCCGTTAAATTTGTTCTGTATTTTCAATGGCTGACAAGATGTCTTCTAAGGTTTTGACCGAGCACCATAACTATTTACGTAAGCAAAACCTAAGGAAATATACATTGCCCTGACTAGTATTTTATAATTCACCAGTTTTCGGGGAATAACTTATCTGCGTCGCTTATATTATCTCTGCTCGACAAGGTTGTGATCTTGTATGGAAACTTGATACGTTATTAATGAGAACTAGGATCCTTTTTTTTTTTACGACAAAATAATTCCAGTGCAATTTGTATTTTTCTTTCTTTAATCTTTGTTTGTTTTTGATAATTTCTTTATTTTTTCCCGTCAAAATTATGATTATATTTTTTTAAGCCCAGACACCCACATTTGACACAAAGGGAACTGCAATCACATTTCAAAAACATATTTTCGTAGAAACTTGTCATTCATTTATAGGGGTGGGTGTGCTGGTTGGAATGTGTCACATTTTGCTGACAAATGATATTTCTGATAAAGTATATGGTCTACTTTTTAAAATTATTTTGACATCAAGCGGTGGCTTCGTTTCGCTTGATTCTTCTTCATCTTCACTGGAACATTGTATTGCAAGATGTATAATCGGATCGTATTCATACGGTCCAACATCCATTTCAGAAATGATATCAGCAACCGTCGACTATTATTGCTTCAGAATCCATAGACAATGTTAAGTTGTGAGGTAAAATCAAAGAGAGAGCCATTGTGAACTGTGAACTTTAAGTTCAAATTTAATCACGGAAGGTGACGTTTAGAATGCCTTTACCTCTTTGAAAAGTTTTGTTTACGTTAGTATTCTCCTTTAATACACGTTCTTACTTTTGGCCTGTGCGTTCCTATTTTGAAAAGTGTATTTTAAGTCACCAAAATAGGCATGAAGTACCCTTACCAATATATGAATGGGAGTTAGATAATCTGTGAGGTTGTGGACAGTCAGAATATGCAGGCTGGAGACACAAACACAGAACCATTTAATTATAAGCCTGTCTTGTCGAATAGCTTTAATACGTATTTGTCTGATCGAAAACTATTCTGCAATAGCTTCCTCAAAGGGAGCTAATCATGTAATGTCAATAATTGAGTGGACAAAATAAATATGTTCCGACGTGGAAAACTGCAGTCTACCTTTGATTTACATTCTGTGAGTTGTCTCCATGGATCGTCGTTGATAATGCTTCCATCTGTAAAAGTTATAGTGCATCTTTCAATCATATTATAAATAAAGCAACAACATGTCGATTACAATAAACGTGTTTGCTGTTTCGCCCCCGCAATCTTCAAGGTATATGCAGGCGGGAAGGACCTAATCCAGTCTGAACCATGAAATTCAGTTACTGTAATTGTGGGTAATGGTCAACAACGCCAGGGTCTAATGACACACAATCAACCAATTCTTAATTCTGACCATTTAGTCACTCGTATAAAGTATTATGACAATAACTCTGTTGTTTAACGCTGCACTCAGCCATGTTAAAGCTATGTGACGGTGGTCTGCAACATAATCGAGTTTGAACCAGACAATCAGCTGAGGAATAACATGAACATCGACCTTCACAACTGACATACAATGGCATGCATCAACAAAGTCTGCGAAACTGATCACCCGAACCCGTTAGCAGTCATGGGTTGCTGAAAACATATTCTAACCCCGATCGTCATTGGTCGACAACAACTCCTGACATTCAAACTATCTGTCAAACCCACCTTTAACACTGTAGACTTCCACATCGTAGCAGTTGAGACTGGAACAGGCCAGTGATGCGGCATTGTCTCCCGCCATGACGTAGCTTTTCCCAGGAGCCAAAGAACCATTGAGTGGGAAGGATGCACCGCTCAAGGCCACAGTCGCATTGAAACTGTAAATGTCATGACCACTCCCAAAAGTAGGGCCATAGTTAGCATGTCCGTAAATTGCATTGGTGCCGTTTGTTGCTGGGTATTTTTTAGGGCTGCTGGAACCTTTGAAGTACAAACGGAACAGGAATGCTGTCGGGTCGACCCTGTAGACATTAGCAGAGTCCCAGCTGACCGAGGTGTAGCCACCAAACACGCAGTCCGACGTGTTATAGAAGACTGTGACTGTAGGCCCCTTGTTGTTACACTTCTGGTGGAAGGCGGTGTTGGAACAACCATCACGGGAGGCCTTGTACAGCAGTTCAAAGTCCTTCCTTGCGTTTAACCATCTCTTCAGTTGTTTCTGATCCTTCTTCGTCAAAGTTCGTTCCATGATCTGATGTTGTAAAACACTAATTAGCCATGCATAATTGTATTCTGTGCTCGAAATAAGCGTCCGTGGCAAAGGGATCTCGTCTCGGGACAGTGCTTTCAAAGGGATGGGGGTACGGGAATATGAGGTCTACATTAAATGTACATGTCTATTTATATATCACAAATAAGGACCTGCAGCAAAAGTCAACGATACGTGATGTCAGCCTGATCTCTTACATAGCAAACAATATGTATATGTTATCATCCCAGACATTTGTACACGTTGTTGGTTTTCAGGAGATTAAATGCCTAGAAATAATCTTTCCGTTGTCTTGAAAGTCAACCCCGTTCATCGTTTAATTTTACATTATTACGAGGGTCGGTTAAAAGGTAGTCGGTCTCACCTAGAAAATGATACAAATGCAGCTGTTTTTAAGTTTTATTTTGTACATATTATCTGTCAACCTCAAGCAAATTAGTTTTGCTATGAGTAGTATAGACAACAGGGGTACGAGATCACTTCCAACAAAAAGACTGTAAAGCTTTATTTCATAAATAAAGCTTTTGTCAGGCCCTTATCTCTCTCCGCAAGTGTGCATACCACTTTTGAATCCCCAGCCAACTTCCTGGTCACTATGACCACGAATTGGCACTTTCCTGGTTACGAATTCATCGCCTTTCGCGATCCCGATCTACACTGGCGACCTCCAGGTGGCTCACGGGCCACACACCCCATTATTCTTCTCACCTCTGCATATCATAGGTTTCGTACAGCCTGGGAAAACGGTGAAGATAGACTTAACATCAATAAACTATACAATGTTGATCTCAGGGAAACAATTTAATGTGAATCTCCTATGATTTCTTTGGTTTTCGTAATGAAAGCTTGTTGGTCTTGTTGTATCCCTTGTTCTATGTACTTTTTTTTTCTCGTATTCACTGATGGCAGTGCTTTTAAGAGACTTGGACCGAATCTCTTGTTTCATTCTGTGATATTTTGCGAGTTAAGAGAGGACCAAACGAAATTCTTCCTCTGAGATTTTACCGTCAGTGAGTGCGGTGGAAATACGGTCGTCTATTGTGTTTAACTTTGCTTCGGCTAGAATTCTGATTTTGTCGTGTTTCAATGCTTTACAATGTAATCTGCGGGATGCAAACTTAAACACCAACCCCACCAACCCTGACGCTCCAGCTGTTATTTCAATACCTAGCACTATGGGTGCGGCTACGATGGTGGTCAACAAACCGACACCTACCGCTCCTAATCCCATGCTGGTCATCATAAGGGCGGTATCAGCCCCATCCACTAAATTGAAAGCTCTATGGTACTGCTTGCATAATGCTGTCTGTTTGTCGCGACCTTGTTCTAGTTGGCGTTTTATGTCACATAACTGTCTCAAATGAAACCCATCTACGGTTTCCAGTGTTTTTGCTACTTCTTCTACGACTGGGTCAGCCCCATCCAGTGTTTGTGCATTATATATTATAAGATAAAATTTAATTGGTTTTGCGTTAATTTCTTGTTAATGTCTTTGAGCCTTATAAGGTTTAGATCATCGTAAAGGAAAATAGGTGAAATTTAATAGGTAAATCTTGGACTATATGAAACCCATTGGGGGGTGTCAATCTCAGTAAGGGTTCTGATCCCAGTTGTATGACGATACGACAACGTGCGGCTGTTTGCATGGCATCCCAATGTATTGTCAACCCAGGTAAAAGTTGTTGGTTTGAACCCTCTTCAGGGGCTCTGCGAAAGCCTTCTATGAAGAGTGCGGCGTCTGGTTTCATAGTTATATAACACAATTCGTAATCGGGTAAGTCGACCCTTAATTTTGAAGACGTGGGTGAAAATAAAATGTTTCTGATAATTTCAGATACATACCTATATTCGTTTAAAGAGATGTAAGGTGCGGAGAGGGTTATGTTGATAAACCATTGATAAACGACACCCGCTCGTACACGTTGTCTTTCAAATGTAGGACGTACAATGTGTTTTCCTCACCAGGCAGATCGAACCCCTCCGTGTCTCCTAAATCACCGAGTGTGACGTTGGGATGATGATTGTTCATCGTCTATATAAAAATGTTATAAAATAGTTTCCAATTGTTTTTCTGATAATTTCTCAGGTGTGCACTTCAACCCCTTGAGATGTATGTTGTCAGGTAGGAAAATTTTGGTGAGTGATATTGTGTCTTCCACGGAAACGGTCACTCCCTGCAGACTGGTGTGGGAATCGACGTTCACCCGCGCGTAAACAGAGCAAACGTGATATTGATGTTGTTTGGCCCACCGGAGTTTGATTCATTTCACGATTTCGACTTAACGTGATGGTTCACCGAGGTAGACTTGGATGACCAGTGTGGAATTCGTCGGTAGACTTTCTAGGATGTTGGTCACACCTTCGAATTCAGACACCACCTGCAACCCCTAATTTTGCAAACCCGGGTTTACTCGATAGCATGTGGGCTGCCATACTCGAGAATGAACTGATGATTACACTGCGCCTAGGCGTCTGGATGTAAGCCACAAACAGGGTTCTGTTGTTTCCAACTTTGTTTAGGTAGTATTCTTTGTTTTCTGTGAACACATAGGGAGAGCCGAGCGTGATGTTGAAAAACCAGTCACCTTGAGAGTGTCTAACAGTTTTTCGATGCTGTCCAACGTTTCTTTGACGTCTCCGGCATTGCTGACCTCCCTGACGTTTTGCAGATCACGAACTACTTTGGGTGGAAGTTGTTTGGGTCGTGCACCGCCATAATCTTGCATGTTTAATTCGTTGCGGATCAGTTGCCCACCATGACGACTGGCTAGCGTAGACAAGGCAAGCGGTTTTCTCATGTGTTTGCTCATGAGATCAATCTCTGGATGAGCTTTCAATCGCAGCGACCTTCGTTGTCAATTTTGAACTTGGAATAGTCTCGTCCCAACAGTGACATAGAATTTTTATCTCGCCTCAATGTGTTGTAATATTCGTCTATGGTCTGCTTTAATAGTTTGTTGCTAACAGTGTCGCCCATGAATGAGGTGTCCCCAACGTAATCCCCATCATCGAGTGCACCACCGCCCAAATCATCCATCGGAATGTCCATTATATTAATTATATTAAACTTATATATTTCATGTATATAACAATGTCCCAATACGGAAGAAAGTTAGATCCTTTCCAAAGATTAATAGAGCCTCTCGGCTTCAAAGCCGTGCATCAGTCGGTTACTATCACCAATAATCCGAGCAAGATAGATGAAAACCAAACGCTGTTGGTTCAATTCCCCAACCTGGGCAAGAATGACCTTATCGTTCCAGGAACGGTTCCACTGGCGTTTAACATCGCGTTGACTTCCAGCAACAACAAACACGAGCTCGTGCGGAACATTGATCGTGACATCGTCAAGAAAACCACCATCAAAATCAGCGGCAATGAGGTGTTGAGTTTATACGACAGCGACATGTTTTACTGTTACATGGATCTCTGGAAAAGCAAGGGCGAACGCGATAACGATGTGTACCAAGGCATCTGTTCACAAAACTGTAAATCGTCCCGGTTGCGCTTGGGGTACGGCTTCGCACAAGACCAGCTCGACAAGATCCCGGCGTCGACTTCGAGTTGCTCACAGGACACGCACCGTTTTACCAGGCTGCGCTGGGTGATCGGCTGGATTACGAACTCGCGTTTAGTGAGTTCTCATTAAACAGCAAGGTCTTGCGTACACTGAACGGCGATAAGGCCAGTTACACCCTTGACAACATCTCGCTGGAGTTTGACATGGTCACTAACCCGGAGCTGACAATGGCAGCGAGTGGATAACCATCCAAATCGCCAAGAAGGCTCAAACCGCAGCCAAATTAAAATTATATTTGGACGCCAGCTCTTTCACTTTGAGTTGTTTCACAGTGGGAGGAGTTGTACGGGGTCATGCAATAGTTCGACTAGCCCGGCTTTCCTTCAGGCGGGAATAACCTGTCAGCCCCATCTCTTTCGCTTGGAGTTGAGTTGTTTCACAGTGGGAGAGGGTTGTATGTTGAGTAATCTTAACAGCTGAGGTTTCCTCAATCAGGAGTAACCGACTACACCTCGCTCTCGTGCAACCCGTTTAAGCTCTCGAATAGTAGTCATTGTTATACTTAGTTGCAAAGTCAATCTCTAATTGTGTGTTCAGTTGCCTTATTAACTGAGTAAAAGAAATGAAGCGTGCATAAAATCATCTTTTTTTTTTTTTTTTTTTTTTACTATTTTGTTTACAACATGTGGAGGGGTGGTGATAATAGGTCCACTTCAGCGTTGTAGTCAGCTATACTTTGATAGACCGTTTCGATTCTGTACTCAACATCCAGGTATTCTTGTATGTTTTGTAATGAGGTGTTGAAATATGCATCTATCTCGGGTTGAGTCACGATTTTTTCGTCCACCTTTGATGGGGAAAGCAAACTCATAGGCCCCATCAATCCGTGTTGTTTTCAATACGAATCGAAATTTGAAGCGTCCCAGGTCGTTCAGTTCCTCTTCTAGTTTGCTAGTGATCAGAGGTTTGATATCGGTGACGGGTATAATTTTGGTTACTTTCATCCGCCAGCTGCTCGAGGTTTTGAGGTTCTAGGAGATCGCACGAACTGTAGGTCGGTCATTATTATACTTAGATGCAAGCCAATCTCTAATTGTGCCTCCAGTTATGTAAGGGAGGTAACTCCGTCAGCCTTATCTCCCAGGCAAAAAAAAAATGAAGCCTTTTTAAATTTTCATTCTGAGGAGGCACTTTTTTCTTGTCGTTAATAAGTTGGTTTCGGACCACGTTCGCCCCGTGGGCTCTACATAAACAGTAATGGCATTTCACTCCAATACCACGGAGCACATGTAGTTCATGAAACCATTTCTTACACTCCTCATATGAAAACAACAGTACCCCTCGGTCCTGCATTTCCTACCACAAATCTCGGCTTTCCTCATAAGCACGTATTGACAAATATATGGAGCGGGTCTCATCTTTGTTATATCCATATGAATATCTAGTCAAATTGTTTCCCAATTAACACAGTCGCTGCTAGGCTCAGTGCGACGAAGATCAGTTCTCTATTATTTTGTTCCGGGGAAAGGCACTTAATACTGGGAGAGTGTGGGTTCATCGAGTGGTTCAAGCTGTTTACCGGTTAGCAGGTAATATTCTTTCGCGGCGTCATCGACATTCTTGAACGTTCGAACGGCATGGTTTTCACGCTCGAGTTGATCGTTAATGAAATCGAGTCTCTGCATGCGTTTTTTCGCGTACTCGGTTTGCGCGGCTTGTAATTTCTCCATGGCTATATCGTGCTGTTTTTGCTTCGATTCTACCTCGGCCCATTCGACTCTCGTAATTTCGAGAACAGGTAATTACTCCCGGAAAATGCCAGGGCATTGACTAAAGCCCCGCCGACCATCATAGCGACCGTAGCCATTCTATATATATTTATTTTACTTTAAAATATTTTCCGTTATGATTCCTTGTTTTATGAGGACGTCCTTGGTGGCCATCGCCATCCCTAAATTCATGATTAGCATGGCCATATCCTGCAGGTCGAAATCGAGTTTGATCTTTCAGTTGTTTGAGAACCATTTTGGTTAAACGAGCGTATCCTACAGCTAGACCGGCGACCACGGTTGCTTGGTATGCATCGTTAACGAATGTTTTTCCTTCAAACATTATGTATATAATATAAAATATATTTTAAATTATAACATAATATGGGGGTTGACCTCTAATTGTGGTTGTGGTGTGGGTTTTGGTGCTGGTTGTGGTTTATTATATAACATAAATAATGTTGTCATGGCAGCAGCAGCTGCGCCTGCAATCCACAGAGTATAATATTTTTCGTGGTGCTTAGCTAAACCACCTTTTCTACCGGCAGCGACCCTTTTAGGGTTCTTCTTCTTGGTGACTTGTGTTGGTATTTCCTCCCCCTGCTCCTGTGTTGCAGTCGGAGTCATTTCTTGCTGGGCAGTTGCCATCTTGTATACTATTATTATTATTATTTCCCTGTTTAAAATGGCAATGCTTTGCTGTGATGATCGCTGCCGTCACTGGAGCTCAAAACATACCGTATTTGTGGTACAACACACAGCTGACGGCGCTCAAAGCGTGTTTGATGAACGGATCTTTCTCGAGATCTTCACACAGGTAAAGTCGACGTTCTGGGGGAATGGGAAGGAAGTATGACGCTAAACTGGTGTAGATCTGCGTCATGGTCGACGCTATACTTTTTGTTACCTCGGCCCCAAGCCGGGTTTCGTATCTCGCGTACAGCTTATCAATCTCATCGGGAAGCATTTTCTGAATTTTATCGGGAGTGTGGTCGCCGCCCAAGTACTGTTTGGCTTTGCTGCCGACCGCCAGCGCCACCAGTCTATCTCACTTGTTGTCGCTCTTATCATCCGGCGACACCAACATTTGTTTTCGAGCAGTTCATTGCACTCCATCTTATAATGTAAGAAGTGATTTTTAATTTTAATAATATAATACCCGATGCACACAAAACATAGCGAGATAAAAGTTAAGTTACACACGATGAGGATTTCAAAAGTCGACATTAACTTTAAAGCCATATCAACATTATATAACTGACATGAAAACAACATAACCGAGTGACCAGGAAAGTGCCGATTCCCGGTCATAGTGATCAGGAAGTTGACTGGGGATTCAAAAGTGGTATGCACACTAGCGGAGAGAGATAAGGGCCTGACAAAAGCTTTATCAATGAAATAAAGCTTTACAGAGTCTTTTGTTGGAAGTGATCTCGTACCCCTGTTGTTAATACTACTCTATTTTCCAGCCCCACGATGCCCATTTTGTTTGGCTATTTATCTTGATACCCCCCACAAACACAAACTCTGCAATAAATGCATCACAAACTTCAGGACACAAAATATGTAAGAAACATTTAGTGTGTTTGAGATAGGCAGGGGTCCTGTAGAATCAAACGTAGATATTAAAGTGCATAAAAATGCAATTTGAAACTACAATTGCTTGTTAAAGTGACTCCCCCATGATGTTTACTGAAAGAGCTTGTTATGAAGACACTACCCAACCCCTTTCAGATGACGTAATCATAAGGACATAATTTATTCTGTACATATTTTATACGATATTATCTGAGGACATACCGTTATCCAAGAGGCACCAAATGACAGATTGTTTTTCATTTCTGCAATATTTTCAGAAATATTATACCCCAATATGTTGTGATGACTAGCATAACTCGTTAACCTCATTACCCACATTTGAAATGTTGGATATGGCTTTGCTCATGATTCCTTCTAAATAAAATGGAACCTTTTCAAACAGTGGACATCGAGAATATAGTTAGGCCGACTACTTTCTGACCGACCCTCGTAAACAGAAAAGCAGAGCCAAGAAATGATTTTACCTCTGATATCTGACATGCTTGTTTGTCAGATATCATTGCATTGGAGAAAAAATTCAACATGACCTAAATAACATTTAAAATGAGTGCATCACCAGAACTCAAATGTGATATTTGCTTTGCCACTTAAACAACTCGCCATGTCGCCGTGGGATAATCCTATACGTCAGCATGATTCGTATGTTTTTTTCAAAGAGGACGATTCCGAATGCCTTCTGCTCCCTTCTTGCGTCAACCCGAGATAGTTTACTAGCACCTCGACAAAGAAACAACAACAACAAAAAATAGGCGATGGGGCGGCAATTCTTACTTTAGGTCAACGCGTGCAGTGTAAGCGGATCACTACTGACGACTGTTATCAGTGATAAAAAAACTGTTCATGAATGGCCCGGTCTCGGGTCGATAACAGGGTTTGATAGCGAAAGTAGAACTTTGAACACATTGTAGCATGGTTGGGAGCCCCAAGTACAAATCTTGGTAGATATCCAAATAACAGAAATGATTTTACAGTTACAATAGTTCAACAGTCTTGTTCACTCACTCCGACACATCCACTAATTCTCACACTGACTGCCTGTCTGACTGATCCTCTCCTACTTACCTCACTGTGCAGGGTTGTCGAGACTTTTCTGTCACGTGATTTCCAGGAAAGCGAAGCCTGAGGTAAAGGGGAATAACTATAACATTTTGTAGGGCTTGTTTGACTTATTTCCGCCACAAACAGATTCTATTGATGTTATCCAAACATCTGAGGCATGCAATTTGAAAATAACATATAGAATTGCAGTTCGTCTAATGAACCACAGATTGTAACACCTTAAAATTTATGACACTCCCATTCTTCAGATCTAGAAGATTTTTCACCCACATACATACATACATAAACTCACTGGCGAAAGAAACGAAACGTCACCAAAATGATATTTTTTATCTTTTATCGTACAAAAGGCGCTTTGTTTTTCCCTCGATCACTGGATGTCAATCTCAACGGCAAATCGTTTTGTCAATCTCAACTCCCTTGGGAGCATACAACTCTTGCAGCCACTAGGCGCACCGAGTTAGTGTGGCATTCCCATCCTTACGAGGTACCCATTCACAGCTGAGTGGACTGGGACACATAGTCACAGAAATTTGTCCACGTTTACTGCACGTTGCTGTACCGGCAACTGGGTGTTTGCACGTATTCATGTGGCCACCATCTGGTCATATACCAACGAATTCGTGGGTTCTTTTAAGTGCACAGGGTTGTGTACTGTACACTACGTGTTGTGACAACACTGAAAGAGTCTGCACACAAAGTTAACACAAAGCTTTTTACAACCGGTCACAGGTGGGCTCGATCCCGTCATCTCGATGTGTACACAAACTAAACATTAAAATTTCTGTGACTGTTTCGTCCTAAATGATTGTAAAGATCATTTGAGCTGGATACATCTGTTTCTTTTTTCGCTTTATTCTCTATGGCAGGCTATATTTCTCTACATCAGGATCTAGGAACACCTGCAGGTGAGCGTCCAAAAGTGGCTGTCTTATCAGCCAATCTACTTGAAAGCTTCTGATGTACTCCTTACTTACCAGTCAACGAACCACGCGCATATTTTTATACAGTATTTCCTTTATAAACACCATAACATCAATATTTGCTTTGTGCGAATGCTCGTAAAAATTGAAAATTTAATAGAAGAAGATTTGAAGATGATTTTACTAAACTTTTAAGAAACACGTATCGACGTGATGCTAAGAACTTATAACTATTAAGTGATAAATCTGATCCCATAATAGCAACATTTCCGTGACATAAACGAAACATATAAGCTTTGTTTGTTGGTTTGTTTGTTTTTTAACGCCTCACTCAGCAATATGTGAAAGTCTTGGCCAGGCAATCCAGTGGTTGACATCAAGAGCACTTATTAATTGTGATACGATGACATGTACCAAGTCTGCAAGCCTGACCCATCCATCCAGTTGGTCACCTTATTATAAATCTCCTGCATCTCCTCGGTTTAAGGCTATAATTGGTCAGGGACACTACGATACGTGTCACTGACTATAGATTAAGCCGATTTTAGCAATATTCCAGCAATATCACGGCGGGGGACACCAGAAATGGGCTTCACACATTGTATCCAAGTGGGTAATCGAACCCGGGTCTTTGTCATGACGAGCGAACGCTTAATCATTTGATTTTCCAACCACCTCGCTTAAATATTATATTATGCGAGGATTCTGTGTCACGGTAAGAACTACTTAATATGCAACAGTTTGAAAGATGAGAAGAAATGAACACAGGCGCAAATTTATAAATGCTTATTTACAAATGATATAAAAAATTAATTTTGAATAACTGGAAATAAGAACAATTCGTTTAGGAGGACGAAATCATCGCCCCATATCAGGAATTTAAAAACTAGATTACGTGAACAACAAAAATATAAAGTGGATTAAACTTGGAAGTATAGCATATCTTCTATCACAGTTCGCAGATGATACAGCACTTACATCAGACGGATCAGAGAAATCCCTCTATGCAGTTTTGAGTACTTTAGAACTATTTGCCCGTTTTTCAGGTTTAAAAGTCAACGTAGATAAACTAAACTAATATGGATAGGCTCCAAAAAGAGATCCCGATATAAGATATGTAAAGAATGGAATTTTGACTGGTCACAAACAGACTTCACGCTCTTGGGAATTCATTTCGATATTGATCTTGATAATATGGTTGAAATAAACTACAACGAAAAACTAGCTCAGATTGAAAGGCAAATGAACATTTGGTCAGCTCGTACCTTAACCCGGTACGGAAGAAATACTGTTCTTAAATCACTTCTACTACCAAAGCTTAACCACCTATTCTCATCTCTACCAAATCCGAAAAAATGTGTCATTGAAAGACTTTTAAAAATGTGTTTTAATTTCATATGGAAAAACCAACCTGATAGTGAGTGAGTTTAGTTTTACGCCGCTTTTAGCAATATTCCAGATATATCACGGCGGGGGACACCAGAAATGGGCTTTACATATTGTACCCATGTGGGGAATCGAACTCGGGTCTTCGGCGTGACGAACGACCGCTTTAACCACTACGCTACCCCACCGCCCAACAAACCTGATAAGATTAAAAGAGATGTAATGATGTTAAACCCAGAGCATGGGGGGGATAAAAACTCCAAATATTAGAAAAATTATATCTTCACAAAAACTAAAATAGATAAATAGAATAAGCGGTCATGACCTCACATGGACGTTTCTCATCACCAGTTTAAAATCAGGACTCAATCTTTACTGACGGATAGTTACTATATACAAAATGAAATAATTCCCTCTTCAACGAACTCCTTTTGGAAAGACATACCTTTAGAATGGTCGAACTTTATATCCATGTGTAAAAGAGAAATTGTAAATGAAGAAAACATACAATGCCAATCTTTATGGAATAACGACAATATCAGAATTGATAGTCATCCCTTTCTGTATCTTGAGTGGTACAAAAAAGGTGTCGTTTTTGTAAATGATTTACTACATGAAGAAGGCAGACTGTTCACATATAAAGAATTTTCCAATACGTTTTCAATAAAAACCAATTTCTTAACGTATGAATCAGTGAAAAAGGCAATTATAACATATGCTCGAACACTGAATATAAAGCAATTTAAAAAGAAATTAAGCGAACCAATTTATCCCTTTAATGTCTCAAAAATTGACACCATAATTGGGAGTAAAAAATTATACGCCTCCCTCTTGAACTCAAAATTTGTTCGGTTGCCAAGTTTTTCAAAATGGAAAAGAGTTCTAGAGAGTAATTTTACTGAAAATGACTGGAATCTTTTTAACATCATTGCAAATAAATGTTCGCGAAGCATAGACTTGAAATGGTTGCAATATAGAATTATCCACAATATCCCCCCAACATTACAACTACTTTATAAAATTGGATGCACATCCTCACCAATATGGCCATTTTGTGAACAAGAAAGAGAAACTATCAATCATACGTTATGGGAATGTGAATTTGTTTTTAAATTATGGAAATAAATAGAATCATGCATGGTTGAACTACAGTTACAAGTGGAACTTACAAATAAAATCGTTATATTAGGATTGAAAGGATTAAACAATAATCCGATTAATGAAATAATTTCAGTAGTCAAACATTATATCTACAGATGCAGCATAAATGGTTTCAAACCAAAGTTTAATATTTAAAAAATGAAATTGTCCGTCACCATGATATGTCACGATATCAGCGGGAACTGAGCAATTATTTTTTTCAATATTGGTCAACATTACATCTATTACTTGGAAGATAATCCAGCCAATTATACTTTTTCAGCCAACTGTACATTTTCATACATGTATACATATACCATTGTATAATTATGAAACTTATCTATACATGTTTGCCTGTACATGAAATATGGGAAATAAAAATAAATAAATAAATACGTCATCAATCAACTGCGAAATAAGCATGCCATACCATGCGCTGTTTAGAAATGTGTACATACCGCGCATTATTGAAACTATAAACCAGCGTTTTTCGGGTTTTATAGGGGTCAATCGTTGGCAATTTCGTGATATTATTGGTATCTCTGACACGGCTAAGGTATAATGTTTTGGCTGCTAAAATTTATTGATTAGCACAGACCTTCGTATGTTTAGGATCGAATCTCAGCCAAACTTGTAACCTTAAAATCGTAAACGGTGAACTCTTTCTAAACAATCACACTGTTTCATCCTATATCGCAAATCAAACTCGTGACCTTCCAGTGGTATCTGACCGAGAGAAGCGAGGTCAGATACCATAGGAAGGACACGAGTTTCGTATAATTCGTATGTAATGAGACCTCATGTAGTATTCTCTATTTATTACCTACGAGGGCGAACATATCGGGGTTCATATTTTTCTTGCGATGCCCTAGGGCAAAATATCACATTGTCATGGTGACGTGACGTCATGAACAAGGCTATGACGTCACGTTTCTTCTGTGACGTGGCGTTCTACATGCGACGACGGCGGGTAGCCAGCCTGTGTTTGAAGTAGATTTGGTTTTATTTTCCTCAATTTGACGACGTCGGTAATAAACAGAATATTATATTCGTGCCCATATCATACTATGTTTACGACACGAGTGCCTAAATATCGGTTATTCATTTATTTCTGTTCATACTCATGTCGTCAGAAGCCAATTGTATGGCGTTGTTTTGATTAGATGAAAGAATACATTTGTAATATTTAATCATCCATTAAAACTTTTAAAACAATGTACATTTGTTAGTGTATATGAAACCAACATGCAGTTTGGCAACAAACTTTTGTAAGTAAACTCATATCGTTGTTCATCCTTCCTCCAGAATGTGATGTACCAGCACAGTACAAGACAACAGAGGGTCAAAACTGCAATGTTTCAACATTTCAAGTACAACAAGACTTCGACATAGCGAAGGTACACAGCATCTAAATCTTACCCAGTGAGATAGCAGATTCTGCAAGACCACTTTATCAAATCGTTAACTGACACAATCCGAAGCTAGCAAAGCAACTACACCCACTGTTGACATATTACCCGCCTATGTATATACCCATTGTTAAAAATAGCGTCCCAAACTTGAAGGAAGGCCTGCCTGGAAAACATTATGTTACGGATTATGACGTCATTTCATCTGTGGAGGACACCGTCAAGGGGAAGCCCTTTACACTAGTGTGATCCAAAACTCCGTTGTCATTGTCAGAAGTGTGTGGACTGCATTACTGTAAAGATATTGTGCACCCCAAACCATTTACCACACTCCCTGATTGTTAGGCTCAAAGCTTTTATCAACCCGTCGAACATCATTAACTGGAAGTGAATTTTGGTGAGATATGTAACATTTGAAAGAACATTCACAATTTCATTATATTTAATCATTTTCCTAAGGAGGTATTTCTACTTAAATGCAATGTGACTGAAATTGAAGGTTATATGTAACGTGCTTGTGTTGAATACTCCCTTTTTCCCCATGCAATATAGTTGATAAGGTTGTTGTATTATATGGTGGCGGTTTGTAAATAATCAAGGCTGGACAATCCAGTGATCAACAACATAAACATCGTTTTACGATGACGCGTGTCCACCAAGCCACGTCCACCCTATCCCGTTTGTCGCCTTTTACGACAATGATGAGTTACTGAAGATCAATTCTAACTCTGACCTTCACGGGTCTTATTGTGTCTAAATATGTCTAACACTGTGGTTTGTATTGCTGACAGTACTCCGGGAGCTGGTATGAAATGGAATGGTTGGCCCAGTCGTATATCCCTCCGTCAGAACTCTTCCAAGACTATCAACACGAGTACATTGCAGGAAGCGATGGGAAGGTGTCTGCGTTCATCAGAGGAAGGTATGGATAATGGAACACTGGAGGTGCTGCAATGAATATGGAATGTTTCCTCTAGCATGAATACACGTCTTGGTCATCCAAAACTGTGTTCCACAGGAGATACTGCTTGTGTGAGATCAAATATCCACGAGGAGATGTTATTTGACAGTAGATTTTGTACAACGCTCTGACAATGCTATGACTTGATGACGTCACAATGCTATGACATAGCAACAATGCAAGTCTAATGACAGTGCCGTGTTCAGAGATGTACATTTTTCATTGAAAACTAATGAAGAGTGATTTTGGATGATAAATAGAATCTCACCCTCGTGTCTTCTGATATCAAATTTATCAACACTCGTAGATAAAAGTAAAAATATCCTCGGCAAGCCTCGGATATTTGAAACTTTATCAACTCGTGTTGATATTATTGATATCAGAAGACAATTGTGAGATTCTCTATTTATCATCCCAAGCTGTGTTCCAATGGAGATATTGCTTGTGTGAGATCAAACGATATCCCCTAGGAGATATCATGTTGACAGTAGACTTTGTACTATGCCCTGGCGTCATAAATTACATGCGTCACAATGCTATGACGTAAAAAACACGATGACGTCACAATGCTATGACACGCTGCACTGCACGTTTAATGGCACGTTAGTTGTTCATTTTCATTGAAAACTAATGAAGATTAATTGATTTTTTATGATAAATAGAATCTCACCCTCGTGTCATCTGGTATCAAATATATCATCACTCTTTGATAAAAGTAAAAATCCTCGGCAAGCTTCGGATATTTGTAACTTTATCAACCCGTGTTGATATAATTGATATCAAAAGACACTCTGGTGAGAATTTCTATATACTGGACTTAATACAACACTTACCTTGGGGAACGATTCTCTTGTATAAATCGAGACCAGATTCAATTATCGCTCTCTTTTTCAGGAACAAGCAAGGATGTTTCTACAGGGAGGCCATTATGGAACCATTAGAAACTCCGGGGAAGTTTACACTCAAAGTAAAAGACAGCAATGGTGGGGTGAATATTGCGTTATGAACACGTATCAACATACTCCTATGACAATTTACGGCATGAAGAGGGAGTCATATATAATTATGTGAACAATAAAATGACCTAATGACATGTAGGATGAGTTATTCGGAACTAAATATTGCGCCTAAATAAGCTGTAGACAAGCAGAAAACTCCCTACGCTTTCAGGAAAGATGTTTCTTATACCTTCTTCTTTCCTTGTAAAACAATGTCATCCTTTATGAACTAGTTATGTCAAGTACGTAGCTGGACCTTGAATTTCGAAGCTCTCTTAGCGCTAAGATCGTCGTAAGTTAATGTTAATGTATGGCACTTACGACTATCTTAGCGATCAGAGAGCTTCGAAAATCTGGGCCCTGTATATGAAAACAACCAGCACTACCCCAAGTCAGACCAGCAAACCTGACCTTCATCCTCATGGTATATTGCATATATTGCTGGTGTTGTCATTTCAGACCAATATCCCTACTGGGTGGTGGACACAGACTACAGCGGCTTTGCCGTCATGTATGGATGTTTGGAGGTGAACAACAGCCAGTGTGTATCTGCTAGATCAACCGTGTGGAGCCGCCGCCAGACTCTGGCTCCAAGGCTACAGTCCCGTTCCAATACCGTCGTACAAATGTTGTGTGTGAACCCTGCAGCATTCCTACTGACGTCACATAAAAATGGTAACATTTCAATGTCAAACACTTCACCAAACTCACTCACTCACTTGGTATTTGGCTCTACTTGAAGCGATCGTTACAATGATCTGTGGGTCCACGGGTATGTCGGAGCACAAGAATTATTTTTAAAATTTGAACTGTACCTCGTTAACCACAAAGTACTTTTATACTGAAACCACGAATAAAGTTATTCTTGATTCCAGATATCACATTAGAATGTGTGAAAGTCCATTTCAAGTTCAAAACCATTAATGTGGAACCACTCAAACATGCGTCAGGGAGATGTCTGATTTGAATTTGAATTTTATTTAACGGAAGAGAATTATGACTGGCATAATAATGTCTAAAATAACTGTGTGAATATCAGTTAGTTCTTTCCTTCAGAAGAACTATTGTTTTAAAACACGTGCACTTTTTCAGCCTGCCCCCCATACTTCGGACAGTCCACCTGTGAACCTGGTACGTAATGTATTTTAAGGATTATGATTTGATAGATACATTGGAAGTGATTACATCTCATTAGATTGGCTAATAAAATATCTTGCGTTTTTGTTCACATAACTAAACACAGGCAATGCCACTAACGTGTTGAAAACTCTCTGATAACAGGCTGTACGATGCCACAGACTTCATATTGTTTTTTACAGTTATTTCTTGTAATGCTTGAAGTTATTACTGTTGACCTTTTTCTTGATCAGAATAGATTTTAATACAAAAAATCCTTAATGGATAACGTATAATTTGGAACAATTGTGAACAGACATTTTTTAAATATTAGTTCTTCATTAGTTTCGTCACGTTGTGCACTTCCCGTGAAGATCCGGGCTAGAATTGATCTTCAGTAACCCATGCTTGTCTTAAGAGACCACTAACTGGATCGGGTGGTCAGGCTCGCTGACATGGTTGACACATGCCATCGTATCCCAACTGCGTAGACCAATGCTCATGCTGTTGATCCCTGGATTGTCTGGTCCAGACTCGATTATTTACAGCCCGCCGCCACATAGCTAAAACTAAAACTAAACTCATTCACTCATGCTGTGCACATTGTGCAGGATGTATATAGCATGGGGTCCAGACATTATTAGTTACACGGTGTTTTGACAGGGTGTACGAACTGTAAGACCCTTGTAAATTCCGTATTTCCTGAGGTGCAGACCTTAAGATCACTTTATTTAGCTTATCTTTGAAAACCAACATTTAATCTTCTGCAGAATGAGACGCAAAACGTTTGGCCATGATTTATCGTTAACGATCATAAAGGGAGATAACTCGTGATGGCTCAGTTTATGATAAAAATGATTTTTATACTGTGATTTATGTAGACGTTCTTACATGTAAGGAGGGCGTAGGGATATCCTAGTGGTTAAAGCGTTCGTTTACGCCGAAGACCCGATTCCCCATATAGGTACAATGTGTGAAGTCCATTTCTGGTGTCCCCCGCTGTGATATTGCTTGACTATAGCTAAAAGCCAAACTCACTCTAACATGTAAGCGTCCAAATGAGGAGTTTCTGGACCAACGAGGTTTCAGTGTATTTCTATTCGTGGTCGAAGTCCAGTATGCTTCCTGTAATGTATCTTTACAGTTTCAGACAAGGGAGAATCCTGTGCTGCCAACATCTATCTGCTGGTTTCTACAATGGCCACTATGTTCTTCATCAACTGGAGGCGAATTTAGCCTATAGTTATACTCAAAGACATTTTCGTGCTCAAAATGGAAATTTTGAATGTCACTTATGAAGTTCAGAAAGCTGCTGTGCAATGAGAAGCAAGTTCAGAGAGAAAGAGAGAGTGAAATGATTTTATAGCACTTGGTTCAATGTATTCAATTTTTGTCATTTACATGTTGGCTGTCATGTGCTATAAATTATATCGGAACATAAAATATATGATTGTAAACGAAGAAAGCCTATGCACGAACATCTATGTGCCTAAAACCTAACGCCCAAGTACGTAGTTTGCACATGGAGTAGCGCCTCACACGTGCATGCGTGTCAGTCCTGATTCCTGTCATAAATTCAGATTGACTTAAACAATTCATTGTCTGTGTATAAACTAGCATGCCTCTTCGTCTGACTGAAGGTTTGACGGTTCCTAGAGGTATGGAGCACTAGCTATCAACTGCTATGTAATTAGGCATGATTGCCACATGTACTGATATTTGCAGTCATTTCTTAATAAAGAATCGGTTTGATTAACCTACTATCCTATGACAGTTCCTGTTGTTAATATAAAGTGTCCATATATCTCAATCTTCTGCCCGCTGTGAAAATAGGATGCCCCGATATGCTAAACAAGTACACCGGTACACAGGTCACCTTCTTCTTTCTTTATAATAATGTATTTAAGAAAAGGTTTTCCAAGCAAAGCAATTGAATCCACATCAGATACTAGCCACATAAAGAAACTGTGCATTGTCAAAATATTATCCCAGTTGATAAGTACGATAACAATGTCAAAGGTACATATAAACTTTAATGGAGGGATCATGAGACCATAACAAGTCTGGAGAATTTCAATTGAAAAGTCAATCACAATGACGTCACGAGTCCACAAGCGGGACAGTGGTCAAACGACCATGTCACAAGCTCAATAACGGGTATGTCCACCATCGGCATTGAGAACAGCAGTGTATCGACGACGCATAGAGCCTATCAAACGTGCAAGGAAGGCTTGTGGGATGTCACGCCAGATTCTCTCAAGTTCTGTAGCAAGGTCAAGGACGTTATCTGGCGGATGAGGAAGACGGCGTAGACGTCGATCCATCTCGTCCCACACATGCTCTATCAGGCAGAGAGCCGGTGAATTTGCAGGCCAAGGCAGTAAGTCAACGTTGTGGTGTTGCAAGAAATCCATAGCAACCCTTGCCGTATGAGGGCGGGCATTGTCCTGTTGGAAGGTTAACCCAGGGCCATGACGTTGCATTGCCACAGGTCGAAGAATCTGATCCCTGTAGCCCACACCAGTTAAGTTGCCCCTGAACAATCACCAAAGGAGTTCTTTGGCGTGCTGTTATTCCACCCCAAATCATCACGGAACCACCACCAAAGCGATTCCTCTCCAAGACACAAGCCTGTGCATAACGTTCTCCCACGCGTCTATAGGTACGTTGACATCCATCACTATGGGAAATGTTAAACCTGGACTCATCTATAAAAACAACATTTCTCCACTAAAACAAGGGTCTGCGGACATGATTTCGGCACCACATTCGGCGAGCTTGTCGATGACGTTGTGTCAGGATAGGCCGTATGGCGGGACGTTGTGGTCTGATCCTGTGATGACGTAAACGTTGTCGAACTGTGTTGGGGTGGATACGGCGAAGTTCTGGGATGGTTCGGGCAGTCATCACTGCAGTCTGAAACCTGTGGCGAAGATGGGTCACCCTTATCCATCTGTCCTGTCTTGGCGTTGTTACACGTGGACGTCCAGAACGTGGCCGATCGATGACGTCATTTGTGATTCTGGTAGCGTCTCACCAGTGCAGAAATGGTGTTCCGGTGGCAGTGGAAATGTGCAGCCACTTGTCGTTGAGACATTCCCCCACGGACTATCCCTATGGCCTCATGACGTTGTGCAGACGTGAGCCTTGGCATGCTATGCGTTGCAATAGCCGTTTAATTGTTTGAATGATCGCAAGGACAGGGGTTGAGCTTTCCAAAGTGACAGTATTGTGTGGCATTCATTTGCTCTGTTTCTCTTTCCCGGAATGCACGTGCAACAACGTATTGCACGTCTCAAGGACGAACCCACTGACGTCACGGAACGTGGCACGTGCATGCATGTTGGATACATGTCACTAATCTCTAAGTTTAAATCCTTATGTGTCTACACAGGTTTGATAAATTTAGATTTTAAATTTTTGTAAGCACGGTTTCTTTATGTGCCTAGTATATATTAGTTTAGAGACTAATAACAACAATCTGAACATTAAATTTTCATGAACTTACACAGTTAAAAGCAGTTTTCGTTGTTTGCTGGCCCGCTTTATTCAGGATGGAGATGGCCATGGGGTACACATAAAACACACACGGCCGGCTACATTCGTGGCAAGGTGCAGAGACCTGGTTCATGTTGAAGGAAACAGGGAGACGGAAGAGTGAGAATTGGCTGGGTCATCCTTGGTGTACTCCGAAGTCTGCAGTCAGGTACAGTGTGATCCGAGCGTAATTGTAGTAAGGACCAAGCTATTACAATAGAAAAGTTAACGTATTATTATTCTGATATACTTTCAGTGCAGTGGGGTTGCCTAGTAGGGAAAGCGTTCGCTCGTCAGCTTCGATCCCACGTTAGTTCCCCACTCATACTCACTCACTCACTCATTCACTCCATCACTCACTCACTCAATGAATCACTCACTCTTATCAATATTTATTTATTTATTTATTTATTTATTTATTTATTGACTCACTCACTTACTTTCTAATTACATGAGTCTTGAAAATGTTTCCAACTAACCGGCTTTGGCTTAGATATTCGAAATAGAAATGGGACTGTTCGTACGCTGTAGACATACTGTTCTGTTCATCTTCACCTGTACTGCAAAACAGATGAAACGTTAAAGCAAAGGAATAATAACAGTAAATATATGAGACACGTCATGAAAGATACCAAAGACCATGTAGTTTCCCCACTGAGCATCAGCAAAATGTATTTCTTTACAAGTTCATTCCAATTTTCATATTTATTCTGAGGGGAAACATTCCCGATATTGTGGTAATCATATGCAACATATCACCTTCATGTGCAGCAACCGTAAATGTTGACAACAAATGTTTGTCACGCGATTCGATCTCAGGTGTGAGAGCGCGTTACGATTCTGCATCGACTGACACTTGCTTCATAGAGTTAGCTCTCTTTATAAAGATTAAGCGAGATATGATTAAGCGAGACAAAGAGGAAATAGCTTCGAGAGTCCATTACCCTGTAAGGTCAGTGAAGGACGTTTGTATGTTTTTGTTGGTCAGATGGCGTCATTATCCTGCATACACACTGCGGATACTGCTTGTTAAGAAAGGTGTGTGTGTGTGTGTGTGTGTGTGTGTGTGTGTGTGTGTGTGTGTGTGTGTGTGTGTGTGTGTGTGTGTGTGTGTGTGTGTGTGTGTGTGTGTGTGTGTGTGTGTGTGTGTGTGTGTGTGTGTGTGTGTGTCTTCACAGTTCATTGTTCCCCCGTTTTCACGAGAATTTCAATTGTCATGTAATAAACTTTCAGGACAAAAGCTGGGTGCCGAATACTATCGATGTCTATGTGTCTGATGTTAGAAACGAAACCGAAAGTAGCATTACCAACTAATACTGTCGGGCCCATTAGATAAGGGCGGCATTTTAATTTAATGTGTTTCACGTAGACACCGTGATCTAATGTAGGGACGGTCGGTTTAAAATGAAAAACAGTATATAAAAAATGAAACAATATCTGTAACTTTACATCTGCTTTATTTTGCTTGTTTATGAGTGGGTATGTAGAATCTGCATCTGGAAGAGAAGAAAAGACCTCTCTTAAGAACGCTATTTATTCTATTTTCTTTTGTATTCGGGAAATAACAAATGTATATAGCAAAATCATATGTTGTTAAATTTGACGATTTTGAATCCATAACAGAGACAGCGCTGCAACAAGATCATCAGAGAATAGGAAAGAAACATCGAAGCAGGGAACATCAACATAGATCGAATCAGATGTTACTCTCACAAACTTAGACACCTCGGTCATTAGAAATATTCTCTTTAACAACATATAGACAGTGATTACGATTATGATGACAATATATGACAGTGTATTGATAATAAAATGTAAAGAAAGAAGAATGTTAATACCTATCTATTAGCCTTTTTCTGAATTTTTAACAGAAATGATGTTGTCCTACTACTAAGACCTGTTATGGCCAGGCTACACGATAATGTGGACATGATGTTATCATCACAATAATAGTATGTTTCTTCCTATCATTGAGGGTCGACAGGACTGGGTTACCTGTGGTTTAGTAATGCGCGCTTGTGCATGTTAGGAGTTTGTTGGCGGTGGCTAGTATCGTTAGGCCAACCAGCAACTTGACCAATTGCTTCATGTTATATTTTGTCTCATTTGTTTTCATATTATCCCGAAACTTCCAGAATTGGGATATTATGGACACCATTTGAGATGAACCTGCAGGCCCCTGTATGATGTTATGGTCAGTAAACGTCAATAGTACAACACATTAGGATACAACACAACGTCAGGTGTTTATGTCTAAATATGTCAGCAAAACTCCCGACACTGTGCATCCTCTGAATACCAGTTTTATATATGTGAACTCACAAATCTTTGTACCACACTTCAAAACGCCTTGTACAAAACACACACACAAAAAACAACACAAAAAATAGTAAAATCGTTAAATTATGTTTACAGCATTCTTTTGAATGACAACACGAGAGAACACCTAACATGTACACGTCTGTTCCTTCTTGGAACTCAGACCTATAATCTCAACCAAACGTATTTAGTTTGTATTGTTGATTAATAACGTAAGTGATTTTTAAGTGATAATACATATTATATCCCAACACGAGCTGGATTCGACGTTCTGGTGATTTCGACGATTGCATTGCACGCGCTATATCGGGGGAATACGTGTGCAATCGGAGTGCACAAGCAGTTTCACTGGTAGGGCGGGTGCCCAGTCGCTGTCGTGAGAAGTTTTATTGACAATGGAAATCCGGAAGTAAAGTTATATAAAAAGCAAACAAACATCAATATTATTTACCCGAGATCATTTAATACCACTTCAGATGCAAAATCAGTTGCCTTTATAACAAATAATAGCAAGCGAAAATTCAGTAAGATCAGTCGTCTGCTGGTGACAGGCAATATATAAATAGGAAGCCACGTGATCACAACACTCCCTCGCAGTGCGGAGCAAAAAGTATTTGTCATCGTCGAAATCCCATACAAAATACCCGGATGTTACGAGCGGAACACTTGATATGTTTGTGTGAAGTAGATGAATATATCCTTTATCACTCAAGGTTAGAAAAATACAAACTTTAAATGATATTACAGATAAAAAATACGTTTTTGTCTTACATCGTCGAAAACCCCTGACACCGGGATAAATGTTGAATTATGCACATACAGTATTAACAATGTGATGTATTTAAATGACGATGTTCTTTTAAGTGTAAGGATTAATAGATACAGCGCTATGCTGATTTACGTACAGTGTGAATCTTGTCAGTTGTTAATTAAATCGAGATATCCTGTCGGTTATCTCCCAATTGACAGACACCCAGTTATCAGACACCCATTTGACAGACACTGAACTGGAAGGTTAATGAGGGTAACACCTACGGGTATAATGGAACAGTCCACTGTCTAGTGAGTAGAGCAGGGTAAGCCTGAAACAGGTTCGTTACTGAGCAGTTTGATTGTGGGTAAATAGAACTTGGTTATGATTAAATTATAAATGATTTGTCTTCTCAAATTGATTTTACTATCAATTACTATCAAAAATTAAAAAAAACCCAGCTTTGTCATTGAGAGGTTTGATTGTGTTAATTGATAGAAAAGACCCCTCCCAATAATAGGATATGTACAACAGAAGTTAACTGAGAAAACGTTTTGTTGGAGAGATATAGATCTGTACATATTTGAAAACATTCTGATTTGCAGTAAATGAAACACCTGCATTGCCATGTAAGATCAGATTAATACCAATCAGTGTTCTAATTTTAACAATACTTTCTAAAGATTGTAACAGTTTATGTCTTTGGGTAGTATACAATGGACATTCAAGGAAGTAATGAAAAACATTCTCACATCCATGGCCACATTCACATGATGCGTCTTAAATAAATCGTAATTAAGTGGGCTTGTCTTGTATCTTAATATTGTGTGCAAAACACATAACTTCTTTATTCCTTATGAATAATATTTAGGTTCACATGTGTCTTTTTGATTTATATGATACAACCGTGTCGCAATTTCTAATAGCTAAGCTAATGTTTTCAATATGATGATGCCGACTCGCGTTAGACTAGAAGGTTAAACTGAAATGTTTATAAAAATAAACTGTTTTAATATTGCAGCAATAAAAATTCAAATAACTGTCTTTTAGTCCATCTTTCAAAATAAATAACCTAGCTTCAGTTTGTTCCTGTGTTTTTATTTGGACTATTCCATTATAATGTGTAGGTAACAGGTAGTAGATACTCTGTTCACTGAACCGTAAATGTTGTTGTTTTAAGGTGTCTGCGAACTGGCTGTCTGCGAAATGGGAGGACACCATCCTGTCACACCAAACGTCAGACCATGCTGTAGAGCTATTTAACCGTCTCTCTTTATATATTTAACTGCTGATGGTTTCACCGCATATTAATAATGTAATGTACATCCCAGGGGCTATTTAAAACTGTACTAGTGCATGGTTTAGATATCATGTATACCTCAAGAGAAAGAATAACAGAATTTAAACTTACTGAGAAGAGTTCAATAGTTAGTAAATCACAAGCTTTATTGCGGTGTATATCTACGCCCTGAGACAATGATGATTACCTTTTTTTGAGTTTCAAAGCTGTTGTTATGTATGATCCACAGGTCCTGCTATACGCGCAGTAAACTGTCGAAAACATGACTTCACATCTGTCGTCGTCTCATCGGAAACAATTGTCCACTTGGCTGGGAGGAAACAAACAGTTCAAACTCCTCTACAGCACTGCAACTGATGAATGTGGAGCCTCTGCATTCCACTCCAAATGTGACAACTTAGGAGCAACTGTGACGGTTGCACGTAATACCGCTGGATGGGTGTTTGGAGGCTACACCAATGTAAGCTGGGGTGTAACGTCGTCTTCTTATTCCTACGATGACAGAGCATTTCTCTTCAGGCTTGACAGAGATGGATCTTTTCAACCCAAGAAGTACAGGCTAAAAGATGAACACGAAAAAAGGGCGATATGCCAGAAATCATCTTGTGGTCCTTATTTTGGTGAAGACCTACTTTTTTTAAATGAGGGTCCTTATCAGAAGAAAGATGGGTTTTTCCCATGTAAAACAGCAAGTAAACACGGGGCGGACTATGACATGGCTGGCGACACAGCAACAGATTTCACAGGGAATGATCTCGAGCTGTCGGCAATTGATGTTTACAAGGTCCAAGGTAAGGGGACGTTGAGGAAACAATAACTGAAACAATAACTAGATAATAATGCATATACTTTCACATTCAACAGTCAATGTTGTCCAGGAATGTGAGTAAAAATCATTCGGATGAATCCATCCAGAAGAGTTGAAATGTTTTGTAGGAAATAAAATTTTGAATAAGCGCAGTTCAGAAAACCCATCGATTAGATTTGTCATCAAAACCAAAATTAATGACAGCATGTCTAATAGCATGTTTAGTTTGTCTTCTTGAACTGTCTCGTTGGAGTGGAGTGTTCCACCATTTCTTTTTTACCTAGGGGTGTCAGGTTCTTGATGTCTTGAAGACAATACTATTTCAACCGTGTGTTTGTGCGCGCGCGTGTGTGAGTTGGTGCGAGTAAAGATGTGTGTGAGGTAGGGGTTGGGATGGCGTGAGTGTGCGTGTGCGTGTGCGTTGAACTGACAGAGGTAGAAGTAAGTTTTTTCTAGAATAAAATTCGTTTCAGTAAAATGAACGCTGCAATACATGGAGTTAATTCAACATATCCTATGGGGTTGACATCCAAATCTCAGTATTTTTCTTTATAAAAATAATCTTGGCATTAAAAACAAGCTAGATGAGGTATTTGGCCAGATAGAATATAGTGTCTGTCATGTCAAATTGTTCACTTACTTTTTCCAACTACCAATAGAGGTAAAGTCAATACTTATGAACAGAGAAACCAAATCAAGATCTGTTCAACACATTTATTAAACAGTTAACACCAATTCAAAATGAATTTGTGAAAATGGATAACTAATATACTGTAAATGATATATTATCTCAATGTTCATTAACAACTCAACTGAACGCTTCAACACTGACTGAACAGTTTTCTTAGTCCAAAGAAGACACAACAAGTGTAACCAGTGAGCCAGATGAATTATGAATCATTTTACGACCTCATCAAACAGAAATACGATTGTTTTATAGTTTAAAATTAAAATTTGTAAATGCCCTTTCTTATGAAAGAAGGAATTGGAATTACGTGTAACCATAGTTGTTTGTTGTGTCTCTTTTCACTTTCACACGAGAAACTTCGGATGGGTTGAAAGGTAGGTAAATGTCTGAATAGGTTGATGACTCATGTTTCGGTTTGGTACTTACGCTAATAAACTAATAACAATAGCATACTAGTAATGTTGGTTTTGAAATCCCAACCTTACCTTGGTGCACATTATTATTTGACAATTCTGTGGACAGCAAATGAACCTTTTTCTTAAGATTTGCAGATTGCAAAAGGGAATTTTCCTGTGCGTGATCGATTGTTTTTTCAGTTACCCCATATCTTGCCTTATATATGGCTGCTTGCGCTATCCAATTTTATTAGGAATGATAGTTTTCGAAACATGGAATCGGGATTTGAACACATTATGATACACACAGCACTAAAACAGACAGGGATGAGTGAGTTTGTTTTATTTTATTTTACTCCAGCAATATCACGGCGGGGGACCCCAGAAATGGGCTTCACATTGTAGCCATGTGGGGAATCGAACCCGGTCTTCGGCGAACGCTTTAACCACTAGGCAACCCCACCGCCTCTAATAGACAGGAAACCCTCATAATCATTGTTAACGTAGACATCGAAACACATGCCGAAAATGTTTTTCTATATTCTTATCTGTTTGTTCTTTTTCTTGCTGAAGACGCAAATGTGGAGTTCGATGATCCGTGGCGAAACATCGGCAATGCAGACCACGGGGTTAGTATATGCCTTAAAGACACTCATCTGCTATTGTTACATTATGTCTCTATCCCAGTCTACGAGATTCCACGAGATCCCACGAGATTGTTAATGTCGCTAATCACATGTACGGTTTCACTGTACATAAACATATTCATGTACATGCCTACTTCAAGTTTTTCAGAATTATTCACGGGAGTTTTACAGGTCAGCCACCATTTGCGAAAAAATTGATGTTGAAATAATTATATATATATAGCTTAATAACTATATTGTGCACGTGGATTGAGGTACATTATCGCAATATGTTAACCAGAAGTTGATGACACAACTTGAGAGATACTGTCCCGTGGAAGAGGCGAAACTGGACCATGTCAATCTGTTGCTTGTGGGTGCAGTAGGAAGTGGCAAATCGAGCTATTTCAACACCATCAACTCAATGTTCAAAGGTCACGTGACTGGTCAGGCGAGGAGTGGTAGTACCACACACAGTCTCACGCAAGGGGTACGTATTTAAGAAATCAGTTGCAGATTTGCGGACAATGCTCTGTCGAAGTTGAGGGACATATGCAAACATTTTGATTTATCCGAGGGCCAAAACAACCGCAAAATGTTAAATATGCAGGGAACAAGTTTTGCTTCGAGACTACCGTATGTTCGACATATGAATGAAGAAACTATTCTTTTTATAATAGTAGAAAAGGTAGAAATCAATTAAAATTGCGGGGAGATATAGTCAACGCCTCGTCTGTCTGTCTCTCTGTCCGTCCGTCCGTAATCACTTCGTTTCCGGAGCACAACTTGAAAACCATTCAATATCTTTCAACAAAACATGGCTGATATATCAAACAGATTCCGACGTGGTGGCTTTCGCTATTTGCAGACTTATAAAAATTGTGTTTTTTCCTTTGAGTTTGATATTGGTGTATGCCTGACATAGAAGTAGAATTTACTAATTTCAAGTCCATGTTATTGTTTTGATAGCTCAATAACTACTTTTACATGCCTACAGACAGATTAGATAGAAATTCTCTCTAAAGTTGGACTGTAAGTAACTGTGAGAAGATTTGTTCTTTTAACTTTGTTGGGGTCAGGAGGGATTTCAACTTTTATTGAATCTGTAATATAAAATATTAAATTCAAATGCTCAGTTCTTGACTCTGTGGTACCCGAGAGCCTTTGCTCCGTAACAGTGAATGCAGAAATATAAAATTACAATGATGAATGAATGAAGGTTTTTATCAGAGGAATGTAGGAAACTTCATTTTGTCATTTGAATTTACCCATGGTAACTCCATGTAGATCTGATATCTTGGTTAACCTGTTCTTGTCATGTAAGTTGAAACACAGATCGTAGGTAGTTTCCCGATGCCGGGGATCGTTGCTCATTATTTCAATCACTGGTTTGGAAAATTCATCCAAGATTTGACAGTTAACACTATTACAATTCTGACCACTGCTTGCAGCAGAGTGAAACCGTATTCATGTGAAACTTTATGCTATAGTTTGTAAAGCGACTATGTACACACCAATGCTCATCCTCTATAATCTCCAGGGTATACGTTACGATAAATCTCCACTATACTTTGGTTGCACATACGGCTTGGCCCGATAATTTTATTACCTCCCTTTTCTGGCCCGCATTCTCACAGTAGCCTATCGGCTAAGCCGCCGTTACAACCGAGCTTGCCAGTGTCAACAAAATAGCGATCGCAGCCGCGAAGGTTTGTGCGCAGTGCGACTCAGATGTTTGGAGAAATTATACAGACAAATTGACAGGTCCGAAACGTTAAAAATATATATGCAAGAACTCCTCTTCCTCTTTCAGAGTACCTCTGCATAATTTGTATTGCCAAGTTTAATCGGTTAGATTATTTAAGAAGCGAAAGTTGTGATTTGTAAGCTCACCTTCCCAGCGTAGACACCCGATTGGGTAAAAGCTAGCCAAGGGAGGTAATAAAATCATCGGGCCGAGCTGTAGATGCAACCAGGGTATAGTGGAGATTTATCGGAACATATACCCTGGAGATTTTCGAGGATGACCAATGCTTGCTTTTCGGTGTTCTTCGTAGGTCCATTATGTTTTCCGAATTACATAGTTCAAGGTTTACAAAGTGAGGTCGAAGTCTGGCACGCCGCTGAAGTTCCGTCTGTGTGACACACGAGGATTGAAGGGGGACAATGGGATGAAGCCCGAGGATCTGGTGGCATTTCTCGATGGACACGTTGAGAATGGATTTCAGGTTGTGTATTAGTACGCTTTGTGTAACTGAGTGAGTGAGTTGACGTTTGGGGTCACTTCAGCATCATTTCAGCCACATTTTGACTAGAACATGCTGCACTTTATTAACCTGGCGCAAAGGAACAGTAATTTATAAAGCTATTGCCAGAGTCTAAAGAAATATCTACTTTGATGATATTTAGCTCTATGTAGAAGATACTTCCATATACGTAGACGATACGTATAATTACATTTACATCGAAAATACTTTCATTCACGTAGCAGGTACTTTCATCTGTGTACAAGAGATCAACACAGATGATAATTTCATTGGGAAGTTGAGACCCTTGAAGCATATAGTACAAACATATATAGTATTATTATATTTGGCAACATGTTGATTGTTGATTTCTATTTGTCCTTTTGGGATACTTTTGCACCTAAGTGAAATCATTTCAAATTGTCCAACTATCAGCGTTGTAATATAAAAGAATAGATTCAAGTATCATCTACGCAGATGCTCTTCTTTTGTTTGTGGCACTACTACGCTTCCATAGAAATATCTCTGGTAACATGTCACGGATTTGTACCTGAAACCATTGTGAACGTTATGAGAACAAACTATACGCGGAGGATAGGGGATTTACTGTACATCTGTTACATGCACTGTACCTCTGTATGATTTACATCCACCCCACTGGATGCAGGCGATTGTTGGCGATACTAGTCAGGACTAGGGCTATCCATAGAGGTATTGTTCTTCTTTATCTGAATCTTCATCGGACCCTTTACCGCAAGAACATATTATCAACCCGAGCTGCAATCACTTTACCATTAGGAGCTTGATTGCTGCACTAGGTGCAAGTATAATTTTTGTATTCAGTTTAACCCATTAACCAAGTTGGGTCCAGAGACAAGAGGCTACAGGAAATCTCCATCTTTTGAAGACACAGCTCACTGTGTTGTGTTCGTCGTTGACGCCTCTACTGTGGACGTATTTTCGGACAAGATCCTAGAGGTTGTGAAAGAGTTTCAGGAATCTGCAAATGCTCGAGGTATTGTAGACCAGATAACCATTGTAAAATAATGTATGCGTAAAATGTGTGTTGTAGCAGTGTTGCAAAAAATATCAAGATGGCAGTGTTCCCTCAAAAAAGTATTAAAAAAAATCTTCTCATGATCGTCAATCGGGGTAGCATACCCAAGTTGTCATCACAGTCTCAGATGCTTTTAGCTGCTTTGTGAAAGGGTTATTCGAACAAATCTAAGAAACCACAGATATGCTTCATCATCAGTATGGAACGCGACTAAAGAATTAGATGCAAGTCACGCCTTCTGAGCGTGGTTATCCATTCAGCTACCCTCCGCCGCCAGCGTTAGTTTACTTGATCTGACGTGTGACGCACGCTATTGGTAGAATCAAGGCAGGAATTGGAATATAATAGCAAGCTGTTAAGTGAATCATATTATTGTCAGAACGATATGTACCTTCTCTTGTGACACTGTTCTGGACTTTCGCTATTATTGATTGACACATTTAGATGTTCATAATGATGTTTATTTCACACATTTTAGATGTTCATAATGATGTCTTATTTCACACATTTCGCACTTTGTGTGAAAGAAATGTTAAAATGATCTGAAATATGACATGCTGGTATGTATTATTTCTGTATAAGGAGATCGGTACGTTCGGGATGGACATGTGCCACTGTGCCACTTTGACTGGTTTGAATAGGGAGTCAGGGTAATCGATGAGTTAGTCGTGTAAGACGCAGCAGATCTGCAGAATTACGTCCCACTAGGCACGACAGAAACCAAATATTTGTTTTCGAATCCTGGTTGTCCCCGATAAAAATCCTGGCATTTTAACGGCAAACGTCCAAGCTCTCCGTACTCGTGGTTTTCACTTAAGCAGTACACGTCCAAGACCTCCGTACTCGTGGTTTTCACTTAAGCAGCAAACGTCCAAGACCTCCGTACTCGTGGTGTTCATTTAAGCAGCAAACGTCCAAGCACTCCGTACTCGTGGTTTTCACTTAAGCGGCAAACGTCCAAGACCTCCGTACTCTTGATGTTCATTTGAGTGGTAAACGTCCAAGCACTCCGTACTCGTGATGTTCACTTAAGCAGCAAACGTCCAAGACCTTCGTACTCGTGGTTTTCACTTAAGCGGTAAACGTCCAAGACCTCCGTACTCGTGGTGTTCATTTAAGCAGTAAACGTCTAAGCACTCTGTACTCGTGGTGTTCACTTGAGCGTAAAACGTCCAAGCTCTCCGTACTCTTGATGTTCATTTAAGCGGTAAACGTCCACGCACTAGGTAATCGTGGTGTTCACTTTTGCGGTACACCAGACCTCCGCACTCGTACACGTCAAGAAACCTCCGTACTTCGTGCTGTTCACTTAAGCAGCAAACGTCCAAGACCGCCGTACTCGTGGTGTTCACTTAAGCGGTAAACGTCCAAGATCTCCGTACTCGTGGTGTTCACTTAAGCGGTAAACGTCCAAGATATCCGTACTCGTGGTGTTCACTTAAGCGGTAAACGTCCAAGACCTCCGTACTTGTGGTGTTCACTTAAGCGGTAAACGTCCAGGACCTCCTGATTTTCATCCTACATGAAGCTGGCATACCGTGGTGTAGCTGAAACAGTATTAGAAGACGCGTTAAACCAAACACATTCACTCATTCCTGAAGTGTCAGCAATTTGCATAACACCCTCTTTTCTGTACTTCGTGCAGGTGTGCCTCAGGTTGTTCTGCTGACCAAGGTGGACAAGGTCTGTCCTGTTCTGGACAAAGACTTGTCGGGTCTCTTCAAAACCATCACCGTGTCTGATCTCGTTGACACGGTTGCCCAGATGTTTGGTATCCCGCGGAGCTGTGTTCTGCCAATCAAGAACTATGAGAAGGAAACAGAACTTGATGTACGCGTGGATGTTCCAGCTCTGCTGAGTCTCCAACAGATTCTGCGTCTGGCAGATGATTATCTGTATTATCATGTCGATCAAAATGATAACTGAAATGTATACCGTTCCCGAGTGTGTGCATCCTTTGACCTGTGAATGATGCTTACTAGAAGACTAGAAGTGAGAACATTTTAATATTTTAACAGTTTTATGCTTGCCTTATGTCTTGTAGCAGTTGCTCATGGTACTGTCCTCCATCTAACGGTACACGAACACGTTACGCTTGCTATAATAATATTGGCATATATATCACATATAACATTCTTACTATCGTAGTTAATTGTGAGTCATTAGAACCTTTACTGAAATTTCATTCTGTTGCGAAAAGGGGATAAGGCTCGAATGAATTAGTTTCAGCACATGTCTATTAACCCTAAACTGTTTATTTGTATGATTCAGTACACACATTCCTCTTATTAAAACAGTGTATTTTAGCGGCTGATGATGTATTCTGTTTCTAACCAAGGGGAATATTCTTCCCCGCAAAAGTCATCAGAAATTTAACAATGTGTTGATTACGGAAACGATGTTGTGCCCCATTGTATATGGAGCGTAACAGTTTGGAAGGGTTCCGGACTATACAAATGATCGAGACTAGTCGGGGAGGTAGGGTAGCCAAGGGTTTAAGCGTTCGCTCGTCACGCCGATGACCTGCGTTTTATTCCCCACATAGTTTACATGAAGCCCATTTCTGGTGCTGGAATGTTGCTAAAGGCGGCGTAAAACCATACCCACTCACTCGACATAAGTAAGTAAGCTTGTGGTTGTTCATTTGCTGTTATAATATTAATTACATGGCATCATACAGGTCATTGTAAACTTGGGAAAGTACATATTTCCCTATTGTAACCTTTAGAGCTAATTTCACAAATGACAAAAATCGGTATTATACATGTAAAAACACACAAACTTATGGAAAACGTGTGTTTTCGGTCGGAGTTGTACATATCCGTCAATCACTCAACTACACCTGGGTCATCATGACCCCAAGCCGTTAAATAGCTACACGAGTTGTCTCCCCTTGATGTCAATTCTCACAATCAGCTGCTCGTGGTGTATGTACATCACTGTGTGTCCCGCTAGATCTGTCATGTTCCCCTGCTGTAAAATAACGGTAAGTGGTACGTATAGTTACGATACTCCAGGTATGAATCTTCTATCGAACTATCTATTGACACATCTATCGAACTATCTATTGACACATGTATTGGTTGTAATAACACTGAATGATTTCTAGTGCAAATGTATCCTTTTATATATGTCTGTAGTTCAGAAATAAAAGCAATAATACTTCAATCGTGGCTGTTGTGAGGATATAGTATTGTTTCAACAGGGTGGATAATCATATTTAGGTGTTCATATTTATATATTTTTATATCATTTTCAGCAAAGGTATAATCTAAGTAAACTGCACTGAAACGAAAAACCGAAAGTAGGGCAATTATAGGTAATATTATGCCACGTGTACGTTAGGCATATCTCTGAGCCAAGTATGTTTACTAGATACAATTAAAGTCAAGTCTAGTCTTGCATGAAGCTTAAATGGAAACTCTGTCCTTGGGAAGAAGCGTTTAGATAGGTGACATGATTCAGGCTTGAGTACAGTAAGATGTCCAAAATAATAACTTAAAGTAATTCTTATTATTACCTTGTGATAAAGGGATATAATAGGGTGGACGCAGGTGTCATTGGAGTTACACAGTTATTTACAGGCTACTGTTCTCATAGCTAGAAACATGGCGGCGTAAACAAGGCACAATATATGTGTAATTTATTGTGTATTTTGTGATGAAATTCTGAATAAACAACTGAAATTTCTCCAGTTAAATCACACTTTAAAGTAGGAATACTTACAAACCCAACAAGACTATAGCTTTCAGAGTAAGATCATACAAGCTCATGTGAGAAAATAACACTTACATCCTACATCGAGACCTGGAAAAATGGACATGTCACGACAAAACAAGAGACAGATACTCTCCATATACTTTTAAACCCAAACCCTAAAATGAAACTACATGTACTTCGACAGGTAAGGCCCGTGAAGATCCGGGTTCGACTTGGTCTTTCACTAACCCATTCTTTGTCGTAAAAGGCAATAACGGATCGGATGGTCGGGCTTGCTGACTTGGTTGACACATGCCATCTTATCCCATTTGCGTAGGACGATGCTCTCATGATCTTCAGGGACTGGAATCAGACTCAGACTATTTACCAATTGTGTGACAAATGACTGTGTTGAATAGATATAGGAGATAATGTAAGCAGGATTGTTACGGCGATATAACATGTAACCTATGTATAGATGGATCATCTTTCTATAGCAAGGAGTTTGACGACAGTCCGTTTTCTATCATTGCCGATTTGTGCTGAATTTCATTTCGCCTCGATCGTAGCGTCACAAATGGCTATTATGGCCCTTCCATGGCCCGTATGTTGACCAATCAGATTCTGCCTCTCATCACCTCCAACTGCACCACTTCAAACAAAATGCCGTCAAGATGATCCGATCGATAATCAAAATCAATATTGTAATTATATTTTTACACAGCGAAATGCATCAATTCACACGAGCACGTTGGTTTGATAATGAACATTTGGAAAAGTCGGCCGACAATTGGCGGCACACGCCATGGACTCACTATGCAAGACAAAATATAACTCAGAACCTATAGCCTACATCGACAAGGGTGGAAATTGGATTTCTGTAATGTCAGCTACCTTCCTTGTCACAGGGGATAGTAATGGATACACGACCATATGGATAAAACCTCTACGTCCTACTTCAAGGCACCTCTCATGTCATCAAAGACAAACTCTGAAACATTCTTAAGCCGCATTCACATGCACAAAATTTAATCATGTAAGTAAATTTGCACATGTGTAAATATACATACGTGTGTAATAGTAAATTTACTTTGCGTTCACATGGAATTTATGTAGAGTGAGTAAACTTGAAAGTGTGAATAATAAATGCATTAAAATGTCTCATTGTTTCTCTGAACTTCAACAGAGAAGGATGTCCTCTTATCACTGGCGCTTTAGAAGACAAACCCAGTATTAGATATGTACTGCTCTTGCAATAGGTCTGTCACAAGAAAGACCGTCTGTTAGCTGGAACGACGTGAATAAAACTAGTGACGACAAAGACTGGTACGATTATTTTCGGATGAACAAAGGGGGTTTCGATCTTATCTGCACACAACTGCAGGATTACTTAAAAGCTAGTGACCAAGCTGTTCGCCAAACTTGGGATGTACGAATGAAAGTTGCAATCGCAATATACTGGATGGCTTCAGCTTCAGAATATAGAAGTGGGATGCACAAAACATATTTTCGAATGATTTAAAACTTAATTTAAATGCCATCCGTTACTACAAACACGTACACGTGTACATATACACACGCCCGATCCCACGCACAGTTGCAAGCTAGCACGAGTATCTGTCGTGCCATAATATCAATCATGCCTACATAACTGTAAAATGCAAGACACAAGTGCTGTAACCGAAAGATGTGTACTGTTCTAGACACCAGTGCTGTAACCGAAACATGTGTACTGTTCTAGACACCAGTGCTGTAACCGAAACATGTGTATTGTTCTAGACACCAGTGCTGAACCGAAACATGTGTACTGTTCTAGACACCAGTGCTGTAACCGAACATGTGTACTGTTCTAGACACCAGTACTGTGAGCGAAACATGTGTACTGTTCTAGACACCAGTGCTGTAACCGAAACATGTGTACTGTTTTAGACACCAGTGCTGTAACCGAAACATGTGTACTTTTCTAGACACCAGTGCTGTAAGCGAAACGTGTACTGTTCTAGACGCCAGTGCTGTAACCGAAACATGTGTACTGTTCTAGACACCAGTGCTGTAACCGAACATGTGTACTGTTCTAGACACCAGTGCTGTAACCGAACATCTGTACTGTTCTAGACACCAGTGCTGTAACCGAAACATGTGTACTGTTCTAGACACCAGTGCTGTAACCTGCACATGTGTATTATTCTAGACACCAGTGCTGTAACCTAAACATGTGTGTCATTCGAGACACCAGTGCTGAAACCTGCACATGTGTGTTATTCTAGACACCAGTGCTGTAACTTAAACATGTGTGTTATTCGAGACACCAGTGCTGTAACCTAAACATGTGTGTTATTCTAGACACAAGTGCTGTAACCTAAACGTGTACTGATCTAGACACCAGTGCTGTAACCTAAACATGTGTACTGTTCCAGACACCAGTGCTGTAACCTAAACATGTGTGTTATTCTAGACACCAGTGCCGTAACTTAAACATGTGTGTTATTCTAGACATCAGTGCTGTAACCTAAACATGTGTGTTATTCTAGACACCAGTGCTGTAACCTAAACATGTGTGTTATTCTAGACACCAGTGCTGAAACCTGCACATGTGTGTTATTCTAGACACCAGTGCTGTAACCTGCACATGTGTGTTATTCTAGACACCAGTGCAGTGACCTAAACATGTGTGTTATTCTAGACACCAGTGCAGTTACCTAAACGTGTGTTATTCTAGACACCAGTGCTGAAACCTAAACATATGTACTGTTCTAGACACCAGTGCCGTAACCTAAACATGTGTGTTATTCTAGACACGTATGCTGTAACCTGCACATGTGTGTTATTCTAGACACCAGTGCTGTAACCTAAACATGTGTGTGATTCTAGACACCAGTGCTGTAACCTGCACATGTGTGTTATTCTGGACACCAGTGCAGTTACCTAAACATATGTACTGTTCTAGACACCAGTGCTGTAACCTAAATATGTGTGTGATTCTAGACACCAGTGCTGTAACCTGCACATGTGTGTTATTCTGGACACCAGTGCAGTTACCTAAACATGTGTGTTATTCTGACACGGTAGTGCAGTTACCTGCACATGTGTGTTATTCTGGACACCAGTGCAGTTACCTAAACATGTGTGTTATTCTAGACACCAGTGCTGTAACTTAAACATGTGTGGGCCTGTGACCGGGTGTAAATCCTTGGTGTCAACTTTGTGTGCAGACTCTTTCAGTGTTGTCACAACCCCTAGTGTACAGTACACAACCCTGTGCACTTAAAAGAACCCACAAATTCGCTGGCAAATGACCAGATGGTGGCTACCTGAATACGTGCAAACACCTAGTTGCGGGTGCAGTAAAACTTGGACAAAGTACTGTGTCTTTGTGTCCCAGTCCACCCAACTGTGAATGGGTACCTCGTAAGGATGGGAAAAAGCCGCAATAACTTGGTGCGCCTCGTGGCTGCACAAGTTGTATGCTCCCCAGAGAGTTGAGAACGAAAATACGATGTGCCGTTGAGATTGACATCCAGTGATCGAGGGAAAAAACAAAGTGCATTGAGCATGCATGTGGGATGGACTAAATCGCTATATACATACCCATATAATAATGTGTATTATTCTAGGCACCAGTGTGTAACCTAAACATATCTACTTTTCCAGACAACAGTGCAGTAATGTAAACATATGTACTTTCCTAGACACCAGTGCAGTAATCTAAACATGTGTACTGTTTCAGACAACAAGACAGTAACCTAAACATCTGTACTGTTTTAAACACAAGTGCAGTATGTCGATGTCATTCAACCCCCTGTGCCAGGAAATGCTGAAGGAGTGGCTTGGGGAGAGCCATAAGTTCAAGATCCTGTTTGACAGTTCCCAGTACCACAATCAGATCGAAGAGTTTCATAAGCGCTGTGACAAAAGTGAACCCACTGTTACTGTCTTCTACACCAATGGCGACAGTGTTTTCGGTACGGCTATATTAATAGAGTACGTTTCACACCATAAACTCGAACTGAGCTAACTAGTAAAAATTCCCAGACTGATCTCGCAATGACTAATGTAAATCCTCTACATACTTCGAACGCCGCCTTTTTCATTACGTCACTTCAAGGAGTTCCCGCGTTAAAAAACCCTTTGAAGAACTTTCTCAGCAAGATACAAGTGAGCGAGTCAGTATAATTTTACGCCGCTTTTAGCAATATTCCAGCAATAACACGGTTGGGGACACCAGAAATGGGCTTCACACCTTGTACCCATGTTGAGAATTGAACCTTAAATCGTTCTTAAGTTATTACAAATTTCACACAAGGCACAAGTCACAACATGATGAAAACACAATGGATTATAGTTTCAGCTAAATGCATCATCATGTGTTGACAGATTCTTGTCTGATATTCCAGGTGGCTATACGCGACAGACCTGGCAGCCCTCTTCTAACCAAGAATACAAGCACGACAAAAGAGCTTTTCTGTTCCAGCTGTTCAAAAGGGCCACTTTCAACCCGAAGAAGTACCCTGTTAAAGCCCATCGTTGTGCTATCTATTGCCACAGCGACTATGGACCAACATTTGGAGGTGGTCAAGCCGACGGAACGAAGGATATTGTCACACAGACGGACACTGGTCACCAGGCGGGCGTCACAGTGCGAACAGCAATAGGTCAAGCATACAGCCCTGAAGTACGCCAAAGTGTAAACTTCACAGACGGTCAAGAGGAGGTTGTGAAGTTCGAGGTATTTCTTGTCATTGGTAAGTTTAACCGTTGTCAAGTAAATATTTGTCTGCTTACAATTACCTACCAGTTTTTGAGAAGAGCTGGTTTCATCCATTGTATTCAGCGAAACTTCACATTACTCTCACGGCTATTGTCCTTCACGGCTATTGTTTTGGGTAGGTAATCGGAGTTGTTCGCTGGAGTACGTTATATTTCCCAGCCGTGATGGCGATTTATCAAAGTCGAGCGTATATTCTGTTGTATGCGCGCAATCACTGCCGGTCGGAAAACCACCCAGGACTTAACGCTTTAAATAAATAGGATTTGGTGGTTTGATTTATGCATCGTTGATCACTCTGCCAGACACCGGTTAACCTGAACCAAGTATGTATATACCCCGCCGATCCAATAGTATCACTGAAATATTATGACACAATTTACGTTGTCACAAATCATTAGTTTCTGAATCACTGTTTGGACAGTATTTAAAAATATATATTCTAGACTTTTGCATCGTATATCGTTTTATGCGTTATGATTAACATTAATTTCATTTGATTAGAGATCGGTGAAGAAATGAATTTTTGAGAAAATTCTAAGGCAACACTCATTACATATACTCATGACAAAAAAATTGAAGGGGGTGACAACCATTATTGGCATGAGTATATGTGTATTTTATATAAGCGTACCGGTAGAATGTTCTTAGAAATTCATTTCTTCACCGATCTCGGTCAATTTTGAAGTATATGTTAATCATAACTTATAAAAACAACATGCGATTGCAAAAGTTTAGATTTTATATGTTTAAAAAGTATTGTCCAAACAGCGATTCGAAGACCAATGGTCACAACGTTATTTTGTGGACTCAGAATTACTTTGTCACAACGTTGTGGCCTGGTCATTTTATGTCGCCACAAGGTTAATATTATTTGATGCTGAGGTATTTTACGCTGTCTTAACGTTGTATTTAATTTAATGGGTTTCTTAGTTGTGAACAGTACATATGAAACAAAGCAGAATTGACTTCAATGTTTATTCGACTTCAATGTTTATTCGTCAGTTTGCATGCTGCTTTGCTGTGTTTTCTGAAGCTGTAGCTGAATAGTGAACAAGGAACTTCAAAGGGAAACGTTTTACGGAAAACTCTATCGTGACACCAAGTTATAAGAAAGGTTGTTATAACGTTGCGAAGAGCCCAAAGCATAACGTTGCGAAATCTTTGCATGTTGATTAGCTGGAATCAAAGTTATTGCCAGACATCAACAAGACGCGGTTATCTCGCTGATTCGCGGTTTGACCTCTCCACGTTAAACTGAGACGGGTTACAGTTTCCATACATTTTTATTTCAGATGACAATGAATATGTTGAAAAGGCATGGCGAAATGTCACTCAAGTGGCGGTTGAGGTACATAAACCGTGATATTTCATTAGCAATTGTAAGAATCAACGTTGTAACTAGGGCGAAACGATTCTATATGCTGTTTAAGAAAATAATAAAGTTAGTGCAATTGATTTCTCATTAGAGTGTACAAACATTAAAACAATATAGTTCTTGGCTATAAAAAATCCCACGAAGATGAATTAAGAGAACACATATGTCATCATGTGTATAATATTGTATGATCTGTCATAATGATTATACAATATGATGTGTTTTTCCCTGTTTCATGTTTCAGTCTTTACGAAGAGACTTAGAAGGTTTCAAGCCTCCTGGTGGTTTGACGTTCACAAATATACTCCTAGTTGGTCAGATAGGAGCGGGAAAGTCGAGCTACCTCAACAGTATCACCTCGGCCTTCAGGGGTTACGTCACAAGCTCTGTGCCTACCGGCAGTGCACTCCACAGTCTAACACAAAAGGTGCAGGGACAAATCATAATATATACAAGTAGTCAGACGATACAATGTAGTTGTATTATTCGCATTTATTACCCATACGGGTGAGGAGATCCCGTGTAATATCTTTTTGATATTTGCACATGTGCAATTTAGTGATTCTCGACGTTGATTGGTTGATCGTATATTTGTACATTTTCATTGGATGCCGGAACTACTTTCACACACTACGTTCATTCATAAAGTTTCATCGATTCATTGATAAATTGACATTATGTAATGTAATCACACATTCCGAGATCTAAAAAAGAAAACATTAAGGTGAAAGAATATGAATATTCTTTTTATTAGACGTTATTATTTTGGAATAAACCTGCGTTATAAATAGTAGTCTTTTTAAATTATATAATCTTTAAAAAACCTACCAAACAATCGTTTGCATTGTTTGTAAACAAACATGGCCGCCGTTAGGCTAACCCCGATCAAGGTCACTTACCTAGTTAAAGTTGACGGTGACCAAATAGGAAGAGTGATAAGAATTTTACAGCCCTTGAATTCTCAAAACCTGTTTGTTGTTGAAACTGAATTTGGGGAAATAGAAACAGCAAGCTTAAGATACCGACTGAAGATGTTATCTGAAAGTGTAACAAGTAAGTCGGACACGGCGTCCATGACATCGAACCAGAAAACAGCTCCTTTCTTACCGGAATCAGTGCTAAATGTTCTTCTTCAAGATGACTTTTTATATACATGCATTCCTAATCAATCTGAGAGGTTGGTCCCAGTAGCCGATGCAGAGATGGACACATTTCATAGACTCGGATTCCGACTAGAGTTATCCTTCTTGAAACTGCTGTACTCTACTAAGACGAGAGTGTAACACGCCTTCCACAGAGCAAAATGTTGTTTAATCTTCAAACTTGTTGAGTTTCTTGACAGAAAACTTTAACTAGATGTATTCGTTGGATGGTTGTCTTTTAGATTTCCCAACTTTTAACCGTTGACTTTCCCAAAAATTGACAGGTTTTTGCCAGAGTGTGTTTCAACACTACACCGTCACCCGTCACTAAAAAACACGTCAGTCGTGAATGAACGATGTTCCGTCGCACTGACTTGATCAAATAAATGTTTAGCTCTTATTAAGTTCAATGATATATTTAAAAGATCATTTTAGCATATAAACAAATGTCAATTAATTATTCCAGGCATAATAATTTTGTTGTATGTTAAAGCGATTTTATGATGTACTATTTCCATAGCGTAGTTATGTTTAATACGCGCATGAATACGAATCAGCTGTTTAAGGTCAGAAGTCCTGTCTCCGGGTGGTTTTTATTTCGTGGTTCTTCCTTTTAAATTACATGATGGGTAAAAAATAGAATAACCAACGAGGTCCGAGTGATTACGGGAAATATGCCCTCGTTAAAATAATGTTCAGTGCCTCGCCAAGGCTCGGCACTGTGAACATTATTTCAACTCGGGCATATTTCCCGTAATCACTCGAACCTCGTTGGTTATTCTCTAAGTAATCCATTCACCCAGGATCCAACTAACCCCTTTGATATCCCAGCTATACGACGGAAGTCTTTAAATTATCTAATCTTGTCAAGAAAATCAAGTGATTGACATCATGAGCATAGATCAAACGCAATTGGGATACGATGACATATGTCAACCATGTCAGCGAGCCTGACCACCCGATCCCGTTAGTCGCCTCCTACGATAAGCATGGGATACTGAAGAACAATTTTAACTGGCGTTTGAATATAGGCAGCAACTGTGAAGCCATTTCTAGAGTCCCACGTGAGTGATATTGCTGGACTATTACTTAAGTGGCGCAACAAACTATCCAGTCACTCACCTTTGTGTGACCTCGATCCATCGAGTTGCAGAGTATCATTTGCAATATCTTGATCCAAACATTTCTCAAATCTATGTCAGTGAAATTCAGCTGTAATAGGTAACGTTCTCGCTATTATAGACGTGTAGTCTCTGCTGCGGTTCCTCTGCGTATTTATCAGCTTACGCAACATTGTCATAATGAATCACTGTTTGTCAGGGTTACTGGCATGGTTGATTGCAATGCCTTTCTTTGACTATCCCTCCTTTTATTGCTCCAGAATGAAGAACACAGGATCTATACCTGGCCTCAAGGGATGCTACTCAAGTTTCGATTGTGGGACACACGAGGATTTGAACAAGCAATGGGCCAGAGTATGGTACGGGACATCCAAAACATCATACAAGGAAGTCCGCAAAGTTACATAGTAAGCGTCTAAAATCAATTAAGTCACCATACTAATTGTTTGATTGCCATTCTAGAAGTTGGTGAGTCAATGATAAAGCATGCGACTTTATGGATAACAACTGTTTGTTTATTGCATAGATAATCTACGTTTCGATGCAGATTCTCACACCGTTTTAAGCCAAACTTTCAAGCGCGTTTAGTTTGAAAACGGTGTAAGAAACGAAACGTCGCCATCTACAATAAACGTATGCTTTATTATTGTAAAAACATCTTTTGCCAGACACTTCCTGGGACTCCAGTTATACACTAAACTGTGTTCCAGTGAAATTTTACATAGGTTACATATGCCATGTGCCTCCACCCAGGAATCTGGATTTGTTTCCTGTTTAGTGGTACTTATGTTCAACTGAATCCATTTTTTATTCTTAATCCTGATGTACACTTTTTTTCCCCGAAAAAACGGTAAACAGATGAGTTGGGAAGTTAAAGAGTGAAAAACCCAGTATATGATGAACATTTTTTCGGGACAGGCTATGCTGGCAACGATGATGACTAACCTGTGGAATAGACATCTAGGACGTCAGCAGGCATGGCGTCAGGACGAGGAGGAGCTCCAGCGGAAGATTCACTGTGTTGCTTTCGTCATTGATGGCTCAGTGATCAATGGTCTACCGCTAGAGGTGAAGGATGCGTTTGAGAAAATAAAGAAAACTGCCAACGAATATGGTAAGAACTCCTCTGAATATTACGAACGTATGAGGTGCTACATATGCAATGTCGATTTAATGAAAATTATTTTACTTTATGTTGTGCGTGAATTTTATTTTAAATGAGTGAATGAGTGAGTTTAGTTTCACGCTGCTTTTAGCAATATTCCAGCAACATCACCGCAGGGGCACCAGAAGTGGACTTCACACATTGTACCCATGTGGGGAACCGAACACAGGCCTTCGGTGTGACGAGCGAACGCTTTAACCACTAGGCTACCCACCGCCCCTTATCTTTGTATAAGGAGTACTATACATGGACGTGTGTATTGATCATACAGCTCATTGTGTGTGTGCGCGAGTGCGTGCGTGTTTGCATGTGTGTCTACGTGTGTGTGTGTGTGTGTATTTATGTACGTCGATATGCGTTTCAGGTATTCCGCAGACAGTCCTGTTGACGAAGATCGACAAGGTGTGCAGGATGGTGGACAGTAATCTATCTCTGACGTTCCACAGCACCCAGATACGGGACTTGGTGGAACAAACTGCAACACTCTTAAGGCTGCCTCGGTCTCACGTCTTCCCTGTGAAGAACTACGAGCAGGAGAGTGAACTGGACGACGATGTGGATCGACTCACTCTTCTCAGCCTCAGGCAGATGCTGAGGTTCACAGACGACTTTCTATTACAGCATTTGCAGTAGAATATAGTTGACAACACTACGCACCTGAATATATATCATTTGTATAGATCCAGGTACTTCCTTATAGATTGAGAAGGAGCCCTAGTAAGATGAGGGATAAAGGAACTAATTCCATTGGCATTGGCTACTCGTGGTAGGGGGATTATCAGTTACATTCTACAACCATCAGGTAAAAGATTAAATGACATATTTATTTATTTATTGGGGCTCTTGTCAAGCTCTGGCATCTCTCTCCAGTGATTCTAACTAGAGTGCTGTTGTAATTACCATTAATGACCAAATGCAGTATTCCCATTCAGGACATAGTTGGAAACCCAATTTGAACTGAAGTGAGTTAGTTTTCTTCAAATCTTTGAAGGGCATTTAGAAGTCGAATACATAAGAAAAGCAAGATTTATGGATGTCAACATCTTTATTGTGAATAACACGACGTTTCGGAGTCTATGCTTGCTCCCTCATCAGGTGATTAAGTTTTCTTGAACGATGAACCTGAATAAATCTAGACTTGCTTCAGTCCGGGCCATAGCATTACAGATAGTCGAAAGGGAGAAGAGGCGGATGTGGAACTGTGAAACAGACTATAGTATGTAGCAGTGTGTAGTAAAGTAGTGTGTACATCTTACATAAGTTATGCTGTTATCCGCCTGTAGGTTAAAACGATATATCCTACCCATCAAAAGTTTGGACAACACTCACTATATGTGGCTGCAAACTTTATGCTATTGCACGAGGATCATGCATCAAAATGCAGAAAAGCATGTGTAAATATCGTGCATGTGAACTGCTGCGTTTCGGTGTAAAGTTTTGTTAAGAATTCGCCAATTCTCACTGAGTTTCATCATTTATTGAAGTCATAACAATAATCTTTTCAACGTTACGAATTTGTTTTACAATACATCAGTTCATGTGTAAACAATACCTTTAAACAGTATCAAATACACTCTTGAATCTAAACTTTTCATGGGTAGTATATATACATAAACACTGTGAAAAGACATGTAAGTATTATTGGCAAAAATGGGCATAGATATCAAATTCAAATGTCCTTGTATTTATCTATAATATCACAACAGTGTTGAATCTCACGTGAATGTTTTTTTAGATGACCTTTTATGGTATCGAGTTGACATGGATTATGCGTTGATATTGTGCGTTCGAATGTTTACGTTCCTTGTTCGACTTTTTATACTCTTTTACACAGAACATATACACTACGATCAAGAGATGCCGTATTATTTACATATCGTTTCCTATACTTCTGTAAATGCACCATTTGTTGGTGGAAGATAGCAGACCTTGAGACAAAAATGTATAGAATTGTTTGTTTTGAGCATTAAAACGTATCTGTGCATCTGACTTTTTGTATGGCATTTTGACAGAAGGATGTAAGTAAATAGGGAAGTAAAGGTACAGTCTAAAAGTAAAAGTAAATTAGTCTTTGATGCACATTTACATCCACAGCAGGGGCGGATACAGGTGTTTGAGAAGGGTGGGGGTGAGGGTGCACAATCTTGAGAAATGGGTGTGTGTGCGTGCAGACTCGGGTAATGAAGAGGCAACCACACACTGATTTCATGCTGCAAACACCCCCACCCCAACATCTCCCCCACCCTCCGCACACACCAATAGAAATACTAATTGTGGTAAAATAAATTAGCTTCAACCAACATGTATACCTTTTTCCAAATGTTACAAAATTTCACACTTATTGTGAGTATTGGTCATTATTTGATTCTCTAACACACACACACACACACACACACATGGATATGTATATATTCGTCTTTGTCTAAATTTTCGTCTAAATTCCTCACGCTGCCCAGTTTCTGACAGAAGAGTTGACAAAATTTAACATGCTGTTGTAATGGATATGAAAGGATGAAAAACTGGGAAAAAAATGTTTTCGAAAAACTCATAATTTAAACTGGGCGAGAATATTCACTTTTACTCAGAAATAATATTTTGGAGGTTTTAAATGCATGAAAGTATGTTTATAAGTATCATGATACAAATCGGCTAATTAAGAGCGTTATTAAAATATCACGCACTTGGGCGCGCGCAAACATTTGACCCATTGGCGAGAATATTTACACTTTTTAATGTTTGCTCTATTATATTTGTAATTCTGCAACATAAGACGACCACTTGTACCCACCAAGGACTCCTTTACACTTTTACATATGTATGTTACTGCTGGACCAGTAAACCGAGTGTATTGGTAACCGGTCCATCCGCTAACCAAGGACGTGTCCTCTATAAATAGATACGGCTGGGCTTTCCAGTGACGTAATATGTTCACAGCACAAATCGCCACAGTGTTTTTGCGGATCGAAAGCCTAGCACAGCAAGTGTTTCCTCACAAAACCGACCACTAACAGGTAAGGACATTTTGTATTATAGTAAATGAGTGAATTTAGTTTTACGCCGCACTCAGAAATATTCCAGCTATATGGCAGCGGTTTGAAAATAATCGAGTCTTGAACAGAAAATCCAGTGATCAACATCACGAGCATCGATCTCCGCAACTGGGATACAACGACATGTGTCAACCAAGTCAGAAAGACAGACCACCCAATCCCGTTAGTCGCCTCTGGCATGGGTTACTAAAGACCAATTCTAACCCGGATCTTCACGTGTTTGCAATATATCATCTGAAAGGGTTTTTTATAGCAACAACAAATCTATTACACGATAACATCTTTGAAGATCTGTTTTGTACTTGGAGTGCATCAATACACTGTGAATCAATACTCTGGCATTATTCGTGCCATTTCTGTGAAAGAGAAAGTTGGCTTCTTGGAAAACGATCTATTAATAGAACGGACGTGTCTGTATAGATTGCACTTGCCGACATGCTAACGTAGTATAATACAAGGCACTAGTAGAGTTGCACATGTAGTCTCTACGGTGAACATTAATAGTTTAAATGATAATTTCTCAAAAATAATAAGAAAACAGACTGAGGTCCTCTTCGGATACTATACATCCCAGGGGCGGATACAGGTTTTTTAGAAAGGGGGGTGCATATTATTGAGAAAAGGGAAGGTGCACATTTCATTTTCACCCGAGTTTCAATGGTCATTTAAAAATAATTCTGGATCCGCCTATGCATCCATGGGCTCAGCATTCAGTAAAACCTCGGAGCAAGGCCAAGGTACTAGTTCAAAAGTTTGATGTCCGACACATCTAACTTACGTGATTACTCATATGGTAACTAGACAGAGAAAATATCCAATTTAAATTTTTATATTCATGTGAACGGCCGGACATTTCACGAGGTATGTGGAGTATATAGGTGTTGGTAGTGAGTTCATTGAATGCAGTGGTTATTGTAGAATTGCAGATCTAATCAGCTGAAATCACGCAAACTTCTGGTAAGGATAAATGTTCAGAAAAGGCTGGCCAAAACACGAGGTGGGTGACAAAAAGGCCACTTAACTCAGGAATTTAACATTTCGGAATGCAGATTTTCAGGTGTCTAGGATTATACTTCAAAACTGGACGTTTTCCTATTCGAAATAATACAAATAACACATCGACCGTCCTCTTCATGGAGAATAATACACGTTTACATTTCTGCTGAATGAAAGTTTTGTTTGAAAGGTCAAGGTTGCGCCGAGTGGCTGCACATTTCACAGGCTCTGAAGGAAAGCTGATATTTACATGTGTTATGCAACTTGGATTTTTATATTTGCACTCATTCGATACTCAATTGTTATGGATTTCTTCACAGCTGGTAAAAACCGGTATCAATAATACATTTTGATATTACACAAACATGATTTATGTTTCACATGCATCTGAAAACAGACACAATCGACATGCAAACTCCGACAATGATTTCATCTCAGTTTGAGTCTCTCGTCTTCAAGAGTATAAGCGCTGGATGTAAGCCGGGCAGATACTTTTAACAAACGGCGTCTATTCTCAACGGGGACGTGGGCCACGTGAGCAGCAGAGATTACTGTATAACTATAGTCCTGTAGTAGATCTGTGTAAATATGTTGGAACAAAACTTATTGCATATTTACAACTGAATTATTTGGTCCATCGATCACTTGATTGTTTGGTTGCGTCAAATCGAATGTATCTCTTTCTGAGGATATTCGTGACTGGGTATACTTTAGTCGGGACGTTGTATATCTAAATACAGATGTTGCATGTCGACGATGTGCTGCCTTGTATAACAGCTAGAACATGATTTGTAAAAACAATGATTGTATTTAGTTTTTTTGCAGTAAATTGGAAAACGTCATCAATTAGGTCATATTTTATGTGTTTACCCTTTTAATGATTGGTTTACGACGTACGCAGTAAATCTCTATAAAACAAGTTACTGTAGGTGTTAGTTAGAATGTGGTAATGGAGAGTATGAAATGAATGGCGTTCTTGAGTAGGTGTTAGTTAGAAAGTGGTACCGGAGTGTATGAAATGAATGGCGTTCTTGACTAGGTCTTAGTTAGAAGGTGATACTGGAGTGCATGAAATGAATGGCGTTCTTGACTAGGTGCTAGTGAGAAAGTGGTACCGGAGTGCATGAAATGAATGGCGTTCTTGACTAGGTGTTAGTTAGAAGGTGGTACCGGAGTGTATGAAATGAATGGCGTTCTTGACTAGGTCTTAGTTAGAAGGTGATACTGGAGTGCATGAAATGAATGGCGTTCTTGACTAGGTGCTAGTGAGAAAGTGGTACCGGAGTGCATGAAATGAATGGCGTTCTTGACTAGGTGTTAGTTAGAAGGTGGTACCGGAGTGTATGAAATGAATGGCGTTCTTGACTAGGTCTTAGAAGGTGATACTGGAGTGCATGAAATGAATGGCGTTCTTGACTAGGTGTTAGTCAGAAGGTGGAACCGGAGTGTATGAAATGAATGGCGTTCTTGACTAGGTGTTAGTCAGAAGGTGATACCGGAGTGTATAAAATGAATGGCGTTCTTGACTAGGTGTTAGTTAGAAGGTGGTACCGGAGTGCATGAAATGAATGGCGTTCTTGACTAGTTGTTAGTTAGAAGGTGGTACCGGAGTGTATGAAATGAATGGCGTTCTTGACTAGGTGTGGTACCGTCAGAAGGTGATACCGGAGTGTATGAAATGAATGGCGTTCTTGACTAGGTGTTAGTGAGAAGGTGGAACCGGGTGTTAGTCAGAAGGTGGTACCGGAGTGTATGAAATGAATGGCGTTCTTGACTAAGTGTTAGTCAGAAGGTGGTACCGGAGTGTATGAAATGAATGGCGTTCTTGACTAGGTCTTAGAAGGTGATACTGGAGTGCATGAAATGAATGGCGTTCTTGACTAGGTGTTAGTGAGAAGGTGGAACCGGAGTGTATGAAATGAATGGCGTTCTTGACTAGGTGTTAGTTAGAAGGTGGTACCGGAGTGTATGAAATGAATGGCGTTCTTGACTAGGTGTTAGTCAGAAGGTGATACCGGAGTGTATGAAATGAATGGCGTTCTTGACTAGGTGTTAGTAGTACCGGAGTGTATGAAATGAATGGCGTTCTTTGGACTAGGTGTTAGTTAGAAGAAGGTAGTACCGGAGTGTATGAAATGAATGGCGTTCTTGACTAGTTGTTAGTTAGAAGGTGGTACGGAGTGTAGGTGTTAGTTAGAATCTGGTACCGGAGGGTATGAAATGAATGGCGTTCTTGACTAGGTGTTAGTCAGAAGGTGGGAGTGTACCGGAACGTTCTTGACTAGTATGAAATGAATGGGCGTTCTTCACTAGGTGTTAGTTGGAAGGTGGTACCGGAGTGTATGAAATGAATGGCGTTCTTGACTAAGTGTTAGTCAGAAGGTGGTACCAGAGTGCATGAACTGAATGGCGTTCTTGACTAGGTGTTAGTTAGAATGTAGTACCGGAGTGTATGAAAATGAATGAGTGGCGTTCTTGACTGGGTGTTAGTGAGAATGTGGTACCGGAGTGTATGAAATGAATGGCGTTCTTGACTAGGTGTTAGTTAGAATCTGGTACCGGAGCGTATGAAATAAATGGCGTTCTTGACTAGGTGTTAGTCAGAAGGTGGTACCGGAGTGTATGAAATGATGGCGTTCTTGACTAGGTGTTAGTTAGAATCTGGTACCGGAGTGTATGAAATGAATGGCGTTCTTGACTAGGTGTTAGTGAGAAGGTGGTACCGGAGTGTATAAAATGAATGGCGTTCTTCACTAGGTGTTAGTGAGAAGGTGGTACCGGAGTGTATGAAATTAGTGGCGTTCTTGACTAGGTGTTAGTCAGAAGCTGATACCGGAGTGTATGAAATGAATGGCGTTCTTGACTAGGTGTTAGTTAGAAGGTGGTACCGGAGTGTATGAAATGAATGGCGTTCTTCACTAGGTGTTAGTGAGAATGTGGTACCGGAGTGTATGAAATGAATGGCGTTCTTGACTAGGTGTTAGTTAGAAGGTGGTACCGGAGTGTATGAAATGAATGGCGTTCTTGACTAGGTGTTAGTAACAAGGTGGTACCGGAGTGTATGAAATGAATGGCGTTCTTGACTAGGTGTTAGTTAGAAGGTGGCACTGGAGAGTATGAAATGAATGGCGTTTTTGACTAGGTGTAACTCAGAAGGTGATACCGGAGTGTATGAAATGAATGGCGTTCTTGACTAGGTGTTAGTTAGAAGGGGATACCGGAGTGTATGAAATGAATGGCGTTCTTGACTAGGTGTTAGTGAGAAGGTGGTACTGGAGTGTATGAAATGAATGGCGTTCTTGACAGCAATCTTAGTATGGTAACAGACTTGTGTAAATAAATATCTTCTTCTTTAAAATACAGTGTGGTTTGTTGTTCTGCATGCACATATAAGCAGCCACTTTGACTGGGCACCGAGAACCTCAACGTAATAATCAATGAACTATTTTGCCGCAACAGCTCTTATGTTGTCATGTAAACCGGTTTTGCAGGTCGTATTATTTCCACTCAGGATGACAAAACTGTTCAATCAACTGTGTGAGGAAACGTTAATGCATTGGTTGGAGGGGAGGAAGAAATTCAAGTTGTTGTTTGAAAGCGGAACCTCAAAGAACGTCCCGTATGACTTTCACAGATGTTGCGACAGAAAAGGACCGACTGTATCCATCTTCTTTGCAGACAACAGTTCGTTTGGTGAGTATATTACATTTAAAAATATTCCGCAAGCACGTTTGGTTTCGGCATATTGTCATGAAGCCTTACGGAATTATCTAACCCGATAACTAACCTAATAAAGAACAATGTACCGCTTCGTTTGCAAACGATCCGTAGTACTGAATGACGGCATTCTCGCTAAATTCAGCTCTAAATTATAAATGGCATCAAAACTCAGTGAAAATTTTATTGTCTGGCGACTCCAGCCCAGGTCACGTGAAACTGCTGCAAGAGATTGTCAAGCATAACGCCCACCCAGAGCAAGTTGCTGATTCAAGAGTTGCGGCATACTTGCTTTTTGCGTTTTCCTGTTATAGATGATCGTGTAACTGTTGTGTTTAATGCTTTGTCACGCTCTATATGACCAACTATTTCACGTTTACCGCCAGACCCACGTCCAAGTTGCCTACATGTCATTGCCATTACCGTCTGTGGCAAGAAACTACAAAAAATTACCCCCCTTCGAAGATCACAAATATTACCAGTTTTGTGGGTTTTCTGGATTTTTTAACTAACACCTAGTCAAACCAGGCATTCATTTCATACACGTTTTTAATTGTGTTGAGTACATACAAACACACTTTCACAGGCATGGCGATTAAATAGTTTATCAAAGACAATAGAGATAAATCCATCACTGGTACATTTAATTGAAACAAACCAGCGGCATTCCATTTGTATACCATCATGTCTCCTAATTTCGCATGTAACGTTGTCATAAAGTATTAATGATACCCCCTGATATATTTATGTTAGTGATAAAATAGTATTACATCTTAAGTTGACGAGCATTACAGCAAAATGTCTATTTCATTGCCATGAAGAATATGAGTGATTGAATCTTCTCGGTTTTACATTAGGGGGGTATACTTCTGCAAGTTGGGATGCCAAACCTTCAGGATCAAAACCGGATCGTGATGCTTTCGTGTTCAAATTGTACGACCGAGGTTCTTTCGATCCAAGAAAATATGACACTGATGATCACAGCTGTTCAATCTACTGTCATCCTCTCTACGGCCCAACGTTTGGCGGAGGTAACGATGAGAAAGCAAGACGAGATGTTGAAACCAGACTTGAGCGGCGCTCTCCTTACAGGCGGGATGTGGTGATGAAGCTCCTGATCCTGACTGACCTGGGCCAGACATACAACAGCCAGAGGCACCACAGACATGAACGTCTGGTTTCCAACAATATGGCTCAAACGGGATTTCAAGTTTACCAAGTTCTTGGTATGAGGGTATTGTACACATTAGCCACAGCTAATAATAAGAATGTCTGTTTGTGTTGCGCTGGGTTCCATCAACAAAAGTGCATGCTCAAGGCGCTACAATAGTCACAGATGCGAAGTTCACAGGAGGAGATAGTTCGTGGGGATAGCACTTTCTGAAGAGATACGTTTTTAGGCTGGTTTTAAATGTCTCAAGGGTGAGGGATTCTTTTCATGTTCTGAGATAGTGAGTTCCATAACTGGGGTGCTGCTACTTGAAACGAGCTGTTGCAATACGAGTTTAGTCTTGAGTTTGGTACTGCAAGTAGGCGTTGGATTTCAGACCTTAGACGTCATGAAGGCTGGTAAGGAGAGATCAGTTCTTATAGATAGCTCGGTGCTGTACCATTCAAACAGTGTAGGCAAAGCACAAGATCTTGAAGTGGATCCGGGCTTATATTGGTAGCCAGTGTAGGGACATCAATACCGGTGTTATGTAGTCAGCCAAATCACCAAGAGAACATACATTGCATTTATTGTCTGTCCCTCAGCGGTATATGTGCAAATGATTCGTTTGAGGAGATACGTAAAAACCAGGTTACGAACTGCATCGAGTTGTTTGTGCTGTTGACCAATAGATTGTCTGGTCCAGACTCGATTGTTTACAGACCGCCGCCATATAGCTTGAATATTGCTGGGAGCGGCGTTAAACTAAACTTACTATTGTGCAGTTACTGGAATGCCACGTGGTATACCTTTCCAAGTTATTGTGAATGCATTTATTTGCCCTGTTCAGTACATAACTAATATACATTTGTCCTTCTCAATGCGTATACAAACACCGTTGTGTCGAACTCACGGTTGTCTCGAAGTTACAGTTTGGTTCCCATATATTCCTGATATAGTCAGCATTATACGTTTTTGACCCGTGAAGATCCGGTGTAGAATAGGTCTTCAGCAACCATGCTTGCCACAAAAGGCGACTATGCTTGTCGTAAAAGGCGACTAACGGGATCGGGTGGTCAGGCTCGCTGACTTGGTCGACACATGTCTTCCGTTCCCAATTTCGCAGATCGATGCTCATGCTGTTGATCACTGGATTGTCTGGTCCAGACTCAATTATTTACAGACCGCCGCCATATAGCTTGAATATTGCTGAGTGCGGCGTAAAGCTAAACTCACTCACTCACTTATACGTTTGTGTCGACTCTCGGATAACTGGAATTTATTGCGTAGGTCCCTTCAACTTCGAGACAATGGTGTTCGACTGTTTGTGTCCTGCTGGGTACATGTATTTGCTCTTTAACCCCCGTGTACCTCTCGTGTTGAATTTAATGGCATGTATTAGAACAGCAAACACTTTGGTCATTGTATGTTTTGAGAAACAATTAATTATTTTCGAACAGTCAGGCAAGCTGAAACGGAGAGGAAGTATGTCATTCGAGGTGAATTTAATGTTTTCTTCTTTCCGACAGATGATAAAGATTACCTGCCTTCCCCATGGACACAAATAACGGACACAAATGACGTAAGTACTGAAGTAATAAGAAAAGTGAGTTTAGTTTTACGCTACACTCAGCAATATTCCAGCTACATGGCGGCGGTCTGTAAATAGTCGAGTCTGGACCAGGCAATACAGTGATCAACAGCATGAGCACCGATCTGAGCAATTGGGAACCGATGAAATGTGTCAACCAAGTCACCGAGCCTGACCACCCGATCCCGTTAGTCGCCTCTTACGACAAGCATGGGTTACTGAAGATCAATATTCTTAGCCGGATCTTCACGGGTAGTAATAAGAAGAACACAATTACAGCGCATTTTCAAGCATTGTCCTCTATATTGATTGAATACATTATAGTGTGTTCTCCTTAAAGGTACTAGTTATTGCACAGCACACTTCTTTCAAACTACATAATGAAGCCCCCAGAGAAAATAAATATAATGTAATAACGTAACGTAAATATAAAATAAATTACGTTTTTAGATTACAATATTAAAAAAAAAGTTGGAAAGAATTAATACAACGTTGTATTAAATCGACTCTCAGGTCCTCTACCGGCCGAACGTTTTTTCAAGCGAACCCCACAGAGTTATGTGCCTTGGAGCGCTCTTTATAAATGCCATGGGCGCAACCCGTGAAAGCCAGTTCGGCAAACACCGACACCACCATGTGCGACAGTTTCCGATATACAGAGTAATATTTTACATTCCATATATGGCAAGTGTTCTCTGTTTGGAAGTTGTACGCCTCGAAGATTCAATTATCGATTTCAGGCAAGTCATAAGGGATAATAAGTCTTCTGTTGCATCAATAGGAAGCTAAGGTGAGTGCATATGCCACAACATATATAATATGGGCCAAAATATTGTCGAACATATGTGGCACTGTGCCTTTAAGAAAGATACCATTGGCTATATTCATATTATTTCACAATTTCACTTTCAGAACATGAAGGCAGACATAGAAGCTTATAGCGTGCCCCAAACACTTGACCCCGTGAAGATCTTGCTTGTGTGTCAGCGAGATGCCGGCCAGTCCAGCTACATACACAGCATTCGCTCCGCCTTTAGGGGTTATGTCACAAGTGCCCACAGCACTGAAGTTGCAAGTGGTACTTCCAAGGCAAGAGGACAAATGATATGCATGAATTTACTTCATATATTTATGTAAAACTTTCTTTCAATGCTTTCATGCACACATAGTTTGTAACATATTACATTCTGTAGCTTCCTTTAACGTTTTACCACATTTAGTTCTCAATTTTAAAGTTGTCAATTTAATCACTTTTAGAGGAAGGAACATGAGATCAAAAGAGGACAAGACAGGGCAGTTCTCAGTTTGAGATTTTGTGAGAGTCCAGGATTGGAAACACCCCAAGACACTACGCCTGATGCAGATTCAATCACGGTCAGTTAAGCATCAAATCAAACATGTTTTGATCTAGAATTGATATGCTTGAAAACCTGGAATATTCAAAGAATAACACAGTATGGCAACATGAATCAATCCAGTAGTGGCAGGATATAACCTAGTAGTTAAAGTGTTTGCTCTTCAGGGCATAAAATAGGCTCTGTTTTCATGTTTGATGCCCCCCGCCGTGATCCTGCTAAAATTGACTCACAGTTATTGTTTGCCACATGATATGTATGGATGCAGTCGATTGGTCTATTTTCAGACGAAGCTTGCATTATGGATTCACGGTATCATTGACAGTTATAGGAAGAGGACTGATTTGAAGAGCATGCATGGTATTGTGTTTGTTATTGATGGAAGTGTCATCGATGACCTACCGAGAGATATAAAAAGGGAGTTTGACAAGTGGAAAGACATAGCCAACAAATGCAGTAAGTTTAACTATGCACTTACCCTACGTCGTTAATAAACAGCACTAGACTTAACTCAAAATGTTGTACACCTGATAAGGTTAACGTTGTTGCCGTTGCATTGTCATCCATTGTGTCGATTGTTGATAAGCAAGTCAATCATTGGATAGTCTGGTCCGTGTCTCGTTATTTACAAGCGGAGTATGCCGGGAATATTGATGTGTGAGGCGTTATACAACAAGCACTATAGTCATAATGTTAGCCTTTGAGTTAAAAGCTTCGTTCTTCTCTCTTAAAACTAAATTTTGTCGATGTAGTTAAGCTTATTTTCTTTTCGAGCAGATATTCCCCAAACAGTGGTGCTATCAAAGATAGACTTGGTTTGCTCGTTGGCGGACAAAGACCTGTCTCTTACGTTCGACAGTTCTAAGATAGCAGATCTGGTTGACAAGGCAGCAGAGCTCATGGGTCAACCGCGCTCGCACATCTTCCCGGTGAAGAACTATGTTGAGGAGATTGAACTAGAAAAGGAGGTGGACCGACTTACTCTGTTCAGTCTAAGGCAGATGCTACGGTTCATACAAGATCGCCAGCATGATTCTGTGCAGAGCTCAAGACCAGAAGACATTGTGTAGCAGCTATGGTGTCCATGGGAGTGTTCCCGGAGATCGTGTAGAGCCATATCCGAACAGTAATATTCATTTCAGCCATGTAGTATAGAACGTATATCACACATATTATTATCGTGAAGAAATTTGACGTTTATCTAGTGCTAGCTGATGCTTAAGCCACGCGTTTCTGTCAATGAAGCTATTACAAAGGTCAAAATATCAAGGTCACAAAAGTGAGTTCGGGATTTAACCCAACCCTTCAACTAATAGGATAACCTGATACGACCAGATGTCTTTAACTTGTGATGAACGCTATGCCTAGACTGTAGACACCTGGAGATGGTGGTTCTCAGTGGGACTTCCGATTCAGGAAGACATGGTTGATTGACTTTGGAGTGGACGTTACCCGTCTACAAATGATTAAGGGTATATTTCCAAATGGTATTCAATACTTTGTATTCAGTTTTGACATTTTGTTCGATTTGTTTACGTCATCACCTTTAAGGATTGTCCTCATTATTTTACCTTAGTTTAAACAAGTCAAATATACTTCATATGGAGAAAGATGCTTCCAGACTATTCTCATACAAAGTAGTTGCAATCACTGTCGGCGGCTTCTTCCTGTGTTCTCTCAGGGATGGTTGACAGGATTATTTGATGTAGTTATCCATATTTAGTCCTATATTGAGAGCTGTGATCATATGAATGTGTTCCCAGCCGTTGTGACGCCCTACAGCGAATGCATTTGCCACGCAGGTGATTTCTATAGTTGAGTGCTTTGTGCCAGAATAAGCGATGGTGGTTTTCCGTTAATTTATTTTGTGCTACAGATGCAAATACATAGCCATACTAGAACAAAACTCAGAATGTACGTAAACACAACGACGCTTGTATTTTGTGATCCACACTTGTTAGCTATAGCATAAGTGTTACTCATTGATACAAGCTGACTATACTACAGAATTTTTCCTGAATTGTCCTTGGTCACTGTAACAACATCTACAACGTCAGATAAGATATCAGAGGGCCTATAGATACGTCTCGCGAGGCGCTACTTCCGGTACTAAGCTGGTTCCCCGCACCCTTTGCGCGCACCAACTTGCGATATGCGAGACGGGGCCCAGATTACTTCCGGTACCAAATTTCCGGTGACAAGCATATATTTACGAACCAGTTCTGGTTCCAAGTTGCGCGACCGCCAAATATGGCATTGCTAGATCGGACCAAGTGTACAACTATGCTTGGCTGTCACAACTGTTGACAGTCGTAAATGTTGGCTAAATTAGAGATGGTGTGACAGGAAATTTCTTATTCCTGCAAGGATTATCGGGTTCCTTACCATCACCTGACAATCAAGAGACCATTCGAAAATGTATGAAACGTTGTTTGTCACCGGAAGTACTAAGGTCTCGGGAAGTGCCGTGACCTACGGCGGGCCCAGTCGTACAAAGGTTAGACGAATTGTAGGCAGCATGCTTAGCATCACAAGAAAGGCCAATATTATCATTAAACTATTCTAATCATTGTTGTTTTCTTGCACACACTGGCATGGATATTTCCAAATGGTACATTACTTATAATTACGAAATAAAACTATCTTCTCCAGGAATTACACCTTGATGAAATGTTGAAATGACATGAATGAAATTAATTATTAAAGATGGTGGTGAAACGTTAACTTTGTGATTGCATGGTTTGATTATAATGTTATTAATCGTTGTTGACAAATATTTAAAGTTTTACCGTAGAATCTATTCCGGTATGACCTTAATGACCTGGATGCCGTTGTACAAAACAGCCTTAACGCTAAGATTACCTTAAGTCTATGTTAAGGTATGGGAGTTACGGTTACCTTAGCGCTAAGATAGCTTTGTACAACGGCACCCTGGAACTACACATTGATAAAATGTTGAAATGACTTGAATGAAATTAAAAGATAAACGTGAACTCCGTGATTGCATGGTGTGATTATAATGCTATTACCCCTTGTTGACAAATACTTGAAGTTTTACCGTAGGGTCGCTTCCGGTATGACCTTAATGATTTATCTTAAATAATAACAAAAACTGTTACATTTTAATGCATACACTTGAAGGTGTCCTATTTCTGTTTTGACAGTCTAAGTAAACCTAGGCTCAGTACTATTTGTTACACTGCTATACTGGCTAGAACAAACCCTAGTAGAAGGTCCTAAGTAGAAACCCTAAGGTTTACTTAGACTGCTGTTTTGACATTCCCGCCGGGATAGTGCTGAACTTACCAGAAACCGATCTCACTTGTGCTGTTTCTTACATGGTGAAAAAAAAGTTCCTGCACGTTTTTCTTGAGGCTATTTTGCAAAAAAAGCGTCATTTTGGATGGTATTCGCGATTTACCCTGGTAGTGAATTTTGTAAATACCGTAGTTTTGCTATAACTATAATTTACTGACGCGATTCTTTCGCCCCACGTTAGATTGATACGTCACGGCAGTTCCAACCAAAGTCTTGGACTATTTTTCACACATTATGGAACGTAGTTGTTATTTATCACCAACACACATCTTGAAAGTGAATACTGTGTACTAAAAGATACGATCACCGGTATGGTTCCTTTCCCACTTCAGGCTCGAGACCAGAAGATGTTGTGTAGCAGCTATGGTGTCCATGGATCGAACAGATGGTGGGTTCTGAACATCAATGATATCAAATCCGAGATCACAGTGAGCGTGTACTATGCTAGTATCTGCCGGCGTGACACTGAGGTTCCGGTCTTCGGTGAATGTAAAGATGGTAATATGTTATAATTTATTTTTAAGTCATTTCACAAACAGAAACAGTGTTGCAGTTAATAAATGTACTTCACATGTAACCTCTCAAGCGTTTTGAATAAATCCGCAGTACCAATTTCGTGTTTTTGAAGAAAGTAACAGCACTGGGAAGGTTTTTAGAATAAATACGTCTAAATATAAAATAAGTATCAAACATATTCACATTGCAAAAACAAAATGAGTTGGTGATTAGGGCATAAGAGGTAAATGTGATTTGCGACATCCGTTGTGAACAATACGGTAAGACTACATATATTTTCACGAGAAGCATATACCTTACTTGTTCAAGATTACATCAGAAAATATCACACACACACACCTGCACGCGCACGTACTCAAACACAAGTGAACTAGGGGAATAGGATTGCTCAGCAGTATGACTGCATTTTAAAGTAAATGCTGAGAAAAACCCAAACTGACACTCGTTCACGTAATACAGTTTTTTAATTCCTGATATTGGGAGATGATTTCGTCCTCCTAATTGAATTATCGGGTTTTGTCACAGTTATTCAAGATTCGTTCTTTTTAAATCATATATAAATATGCACCTGGGTTCATCTTTTAGACATTAGCATATTAAGTAGTCCTTACCTTGACACAGAAGCCCCACACAATACAGTATTTGAGAGAGGTAGTGAAGCCAAGTGAATAAGCTTACTCAGAAGCACTCCGAAGGCTTGGGTTCGATTCCCCACATGGATACAATGTGTGAAGTCTATTTCTGGTGTCCCACTCAAAAGTATCATAGTGTTCCTGACTAATCATAGCCTTAACCCGAGGAGATGCAGGTAAGAATTAGCTTACATCACCCATGCGTGTCCAAATTTATAAATAGAAGACCAGCTGGGTGGATGGGTCAGGTTTGCAGACTTGGTTGGTGTATATCATCGTATCCCAATAATTATAAAGTGTTCATAATGTCAGCCACTGGATTGTCTCGCCAAGACTTTCACATATTGCTGAGTGAAGCGTTAAACAACAAAGTTCATATGTTTCCTTTATATCACGGAATTGTTGACATCATGGTATCAGAATTACAACTTCAGAGTGATAAATTCCTATCATCACGTCGATGCGTATTTCCTAAATTTTTAGATCATCTTCAAATCTTCTATCAAATTTTCAATTTTTTACACGCTATTGCCCAAGGCAAATATTGATGGTATGGTGTTCATAAAGGACATAATCTATAACTGAGTTTGGTTTTACGCCGCTTTTAGCAATATTCCAGCTACATCACGGCGGGGGACACCAGAAATGGGCTTCACACATTGTACCCATGTGGGGATTCGAACCCGGGCCTTCGGCGTGACAAGCCAACGCTTTAACCACTAGGCTACCCCACCGCCCCCATAATCTATAAACTATACGGAAACTTAGTAAGGAAAACTTAGAAGCTTTCAGGTCCATTGGCTGATAAGAAAGCTCTGACACGCTCGCTTGGAAGTGTCACAAGATCCTGTCGCTGAAAATGTGTGTGTAATCTGGCTTAGAGAATAAAGCGAAAAGAAAAGAAACAGTTGTATCCAACTCAAGATCATAATATTAAGTAGGGTAATGCTGTAGAGCAGTATATGGACATGAACAATACACATTTAATAATGCATAGTGGCAGCCACAGGTTCCATGACTATGTGACAACTGTATTAATATTGGCATACAGCTGTTAGTATATAAACGCATATAGTGTAGATAGTATTCAGTGTCACATTTAGCATCAGTATTAAGATTAGTATTAAGATTACTAATTAGTACTAAAATTACTATCGGCATCTAGTTATTAGTATGTAGAATGGATTTTTAGTATTTTGATTTGAAGTTCTGTACCTACCCTACCACACCTATGGAGTCACCCTTCCCGTGACGATCCAGGTTAGAATACGTCTCCAGCAACACATGCTAATTGGATCGGGTGATCAGGCTCACTGACTTGGGTGACACATGTCATCGTATCCCCATTGCGTAGATCGATGCTTTTTGATGTTGATCACTGGGTTATTTACAGGCCGGCACCATATAGCTAGAGCATTGCTTATTGCCGTTGAACTACAAAGAAAACAAAGCAAAACACACACTTCCTTCCCTCCATTACATTACATGATCTAACAACAGTAATGCCATATGCGAGTATACTGTTCAGTCACATTGTGAAAGTTTATCAGATAATCAAGTGTACAACTGAACAATCCATTAACAGGAATGATACAATATTTCTGATAGCCTGTCACAATATACCAAACTGGAAAATGTCGAAGCTTAATGGGTTATACAAACTGATATCAATGCAAGAGTTCAGGCAGTCCGACAAATATAAGAAAGACAAACGAAAAAACACCACCTTTTTACATTTAATTTAGAGACTATAGTACTGATCATGACACCAAGTGTTCGAATGAAGGGCCCATCCAACACTTCTTATCAGACATCTCTTTATTTGTGTTACATTGAAAACGTGTAGTTCATTTGTCGGAACATGTTCCAATTTATATCATACACCACATTCCACACATCCGTTTTGCACAAAACATTGGACATATTTATAAGTACTTGTAGAGTTTTCTGTACTTTATGAATACTGTAGCCCTCTCTGAAACTAAACATCAATAGCCAGTCGAACCGTATTTTATAGCTAACCACAAACCAATATCATAAGCAAGATATAACAAAAAGTAACAACAGAGTAGATTGCCTTATCGCATGTCTTAGCAACTTTTCGGTTGCTCAGTTCGATGGTTCAACGATGGATCAACGATTCAAAGAGACTTCGGTGAAGCCATCCCATCGTCCCAATCTGTCAGCAGAGGAGAGGTGAAGTTGGACACACAGCCCTTTCTCCAGGAACACCCAAGGTGTGACGGGTTGGGTTTCTTTCCTAAATCAGTTGATGGTATAATGCCTGGATACTCCATTTTCATATTATCATTGCATATTTACCGCCTGTCATGATTAGCAATTGCTCATCTTAACTGTGTTCAGTGTGTTTCTCCACATGGTCCCCATCACCCTCCTCCTACCCTGCGTTGAACAAAGACATCAATAAGTTCTAATCGTCCTCCTCATCCAGGAAGTTGTAGAGATAGTCATCAGCGAATCTCAGCATCTGACGGAGGCTGATCAAAGCAGGGACATCCACGTTATCCACCAGCTCCATTTCCTTCTCGTAGTTCTTCACGGGCAGAACGTGGGCACGGGGCAGACCAATGAGTTGGGACACTTGTTCCACCAGTTCACTGACTGCAGAGCTGTAGAACAGGGTCCCCGGATCCTCTTCAACATATGGACAGGCCTTATCCACCTTGGTCAAGATGACCACTTGTGGTATACCTGAAAAGGATTCAGAACAAAACTCATTTCTACCTCCCTGTTGAGTTTAGTGAAACCAAGATAAAGAAATGAATACTGGATTTGACTAAGCGATGAAAATTCTTCTGCTCGTTCTAAGCAAAGTAAAAATAAATAAAATAAAATGAGACAGCATATCTTATATTGAAACAATGCGGCAGTCGCGTTATCAAACGAATTCCATGAAAGCAGGCGAGTGGTTTAAAACATTACACATAACATTTTAGGCTACTGGGTAGATTCCGGTTTAAGAATTTTCAATTGAAAGCACGGTAACTTTTAGTTACATTGAATTAATATTTACAGAAGAATAGTGTACAATACAACTGTAAAAGCTGGGTCTTACAATTAAGGAGTAAACGCTTCAATCAGGTCTTACAATTCAGGTGTAAAACTTCCCAGTTGCTCTCAGTTGAAAATATTACCATTTATATGTTAGAGTGAGACAGCAGGATACATCAATGTATCATACTCCTGGCAAAGGGGTGTAGATTCTAAGGATAACTTTAAAAGAATTTCAAATCTCATTGGCTAAAGTTGTTAACCAGGTCCTGGATTATGCACTGTATACAACTATACATATCTAAAATGCTTGTTTGTTTGTTGTTCAACGTCGCGCTCAGCAATATTCCAGCTATTTACGGCCTGTAAATAATCAAGATTCAACCAGAAAATCCAGTGATCGAAATCATGACCATCGATGTACGTAGTTTGGATACGATTACATATTTCAAACAAGTCAGCTTGCCTGACCACCCGATCCTGTCAGTCGCTTCTTACGACAAGTATAGGTTACTAAAGATCAGCTTTAACCCGGATCGTCACTCGTAGCAAACGTGGTAGTAGGTTTCAAAACCAACAGCTTCAAAACAATTTGGAATTTCATTGGCTGAAGTTGTTGTTAATTTGGATTGTTTGTTCTAAAATGTTTGAGTTTGTGTACCTCTCTGATTAGCTTTCTGTTGTATAGCTTTCATATTCTGCAGAATTTTGTCTGGGAACACGTCTACGGAACAGCCGTCCATGACGAATGCCACACAGTGTATCTTGTCCTGTGTTACAGGGGACTTGTTGTATCCAGGGGTGTCAGGCGAAATTGACACAGCTGGGTTAAACTGGAAACATAATAGTTAGGTTTGAAACAACTACATTCTGCGTGCATACTGTTAGACACCACAATATGCAATACCCAAGATTGAGTGCGTACGATTTTGCGCCGCCTTTAGCAATATTCACGTCGGGTTGACATCAGAAATCAGTGTTTCGAGCGGACGCTTTACCCCAATATTACAGAGACATCATAGACTGTACATAATCGACTATGGACCGAATAACATCAGAATCAGAAGCGCCGGGATACAGTGTGGTGTGAACAGCCAAGTCACAAAGCTTGATAAGAGTCACTGGGTGCCTTCTGTGATCGGTAATCATTCGTCACCCACTCGTGTTACTCCGGGACATGCCGAATACCTATTAGGGAAAGGGGCGAGTGGTGACGAATGATCCGATATAACCACGGAAGTAAACATTTGTTGATCAAAGACAGTACTAATACAAAATGATTCTGTGACACCCTATACCATGTGCTTACAACAGGATCTGTTGCATTTTCTTCGAAAACATACTGTCGTGTATGGATCTGCATGAAGTACCGATAGCTGAAGCGGACGATCTTCCAAAACTTTCTTTGTGTACAATTCACGTATCAACATGGATCTCTCACTAAAACGAGTTACGTTATACATATTTGGACGAACATGGAATACATTCTTATTTAAAGGCATTTGACCAGACATGTCACTAATGATCATTTTTGGTTTGTATCGATGATACGAGATCTAAACAGCGTCATGAAGTACCATATACTTGTCAGGAAGGTGTCCATCCAATATGGCAACCACGTCAGTCGCGTCCATTCCTTGGGCTTCCTCTAGGCCTCGTGTGTCACACAGGCGGAACTTGAGTGGTTTACCCGTCTCGGAGGACCGGACTTTGTACTTCCGATACTAAGAGAAAATAAATGTCAGTGTTTCTTGCCATTGGTACCATTACACTAGGTTCCTGTGTTTAACACAAACATGGATCTATCGAGATATGCTAATAAACCTTAATTGAAAACAATGTTATTGTTATACTCATTCATGTGAAATGGATAAATAGATATAAATCTAGCAATGTGTTTAAAGTAAAATTTAAATATATAAATATAGCAACGGGTTTAATAATAGTCCCGCTTCTCATAGATCTATGAATCATCAATAAAGTATGTCAACAACAATCTTAAAAGAACACATGATTTACATTTTACATGACATCTAACAGAGTTCTACTAGTACTTTCATTATTTCAGATTTGTCAATCGAACGCATTCATAGTATGATGGTTCTGATTAATAAGTAGGACAACTGTCCAGCGATGCTGAAGGTTGAAGTTGAATGACATCAGGGACACATTTTTTACCATTTTCAGTTACGGAGAATTTTGTTTTAGGTGTTTTCGCGATTTTGATCGGAATATGCATAGACTATTAGTCCAGCAAAACTATTACTCCACCATTAACGCCTACCTCCTCAAACGTGGAAACGTTACTTTCACAGTTACCTCCCTTGCCTCGTGAAGATGCGTGGGATATGGAATTAGAGCCTCTGATATAACATATCATCAAATGAATTCAAATAGCTCAAAGGAGGGAAGAAGTTTACGGAAACTTTTCTTTTTGTGATTTCTTTCTTCTCCAGCACTTAGAATATTCTTTATATAGACAGACCCTTTCACACACAAATATTACAAAACGGCTCACATGTGTCGTAAGACTGTGTTCGGCACTTCCGCTGCAGGCTTGACTAGTCACGTGACCTCTGAAGATCGAGTTCATGGTGTTGAAGTAGCTGGACTTACCGGCTCCTACCGCCCCGACCAATAGAATGTTGACTCGTCCTGCCTTCACCCCCTCGATTGGGGAATATGTTTCGATCTCAGATTTCAGAACCTGTAGCACAAACGTTGATGTCAGTAGATGTAAGATATTTAATAGCTTATTAAAAATGGCATGCATGCCACAACCAAAACCATATAATTATACCTGTCATAAAACAGGGGGAAAAGTTTTACAAGCATATAATTGCAGGTTTCGGGATTTTGTAATGATAGACAAAAAAACAACAACAAACAAACAAAAAACGACCCCAAGGTTTCTTTTGAAATGCACGAGGGTCGAAGTAGTAATGTTTCCTATGTTTTATACACAGTCAGAACAACTAAATATTTGTTTTAAATTAGTGTTTAAATAAGCGCTACGACGTTTGAAATATATCTTTCACTATAGGCTAAAATGTATTTTGCTACCCCTAGTCTGGTTAGAATATCTGGCTGTAGATAGGTGATAAAACAAAAACGTGTCTTCGATTTAGTACACTTAACCTTTAAAACACGAATTATATACCTAATTTTACTTTGAAACCCATTAGGGAGATAACGTATAAATTTAATCCCAGGTTTTACAACGAATAAGACGCAAGAAGATCCCGTTTAGAAATGATCTTCTGTAACCGATGTTTGTCGCAAGAGGTGACTATCAGGATCGGATGGTCAGGCTCTCTGACTTGGTTTATACATGTGATTATATCCCGTAGATCGCTTTTCCTGATGTTGATCATTGGATTGTCTGGTCTAGATTCGATTATTTGCAAACCGCCGCCATATTGCTGGAACATTGCTGAGTGCGGCGTTAAACAACAATCCAGACAAACAACAACCTACAAGAGGAATGGTTAACTGGAAGTTGTGAGAAGAGGGATTTTTTTTGCAGAAACAGTATACATGATAAGAATATATAATACTGGGAAGTACGATTAGTAAATAAGAGTACAGATGAAGTTAGAAATGGGGTAGTAAAACATGAAACATTAAAAATAGATTATTAAAACAAATCACATCACAGATTTTAGATTCACTTTATTCACAGGTCCAAGAAATGCGATATAGTTCCTAAAATAAACGGGGCTGGAGTGGGCGAGTCTTGGTTTTAAAATAGAGGTAAGAAGTCCGGGAGATAGGCTAACAAATGTAAGAATGGGAGCTGGATAATTTGTGAAAAAAGGGGGCTGTTTCAAGGCACCCATCAGAACACGTGGGCTGATGCCCTAACAATAGTGACAATATTTATGTCTTGTCTCTGAATCATGTTTGTGTTAACGGTCCTCTGTAGTGTCAGCTTAGAAAGTGAATACCACAGCGTCTCCTTTCACAAAGCACTAAGGTGATCGTATGTCACTAAAAACTGCGATCTACCTTTGGTTTAGATTCTGTCAGTTGTCTCCATGGGTCGTCGTTGATAATGCTTCCATCTGCAAAAGTTATGGTTCTTGTTTCAAGCATCTCATAAAACACAAAACATATCAGTTACTATTAACGTGTTTGTTGTTTCGCCCCCGCAATATTCCAGCTATATGACGGCGGGAAGGACCTACTCAAGTCTGAACCAAGAAATTCAGTTACTGATATTGTGGGTAATGATCAACAACGCCAGGGTCTTATGACACACTATTAACCAATTCACAATTCTCATCACTCGTATAAAATTGTATTATGACAATAACTCTGTTGTTAAACGCTGCACTCAGCCATGTTAAAGCTATGTGAATGCGGTCTGCAAATAATGGAGTCTGAACCATGAAATCTACTGATTGACGTCATGAGCATTGACCTACGTAACTAAGATACAATGGCATGCATAAGCGAAACTGACCACCCGATCCCATTATCAACCTCTGACGACAAGCATGAGTTGCTGAAAACGTATTCTAACCCGGATCTTCACTGGTCGACAATAACTCTTGGCATCAGAGTGTCTGACCAACCCACCTTTCACACTGTAGACTTCCACGTCGTAGCAGACGAGACTGGAACAGGCCAGTGATGTGGCATTGTCTCCCGCCATGGCGTAGCTTGCACCAGGAGCCAAAGAACCGTTGAGTGGGAAGGATGCACCGCTCAAGGCCACAGTACCGTTGAAACTGTAAACGTCAGGACCACCCCCGAAAGTAGGGCCATAGGTCGCGTGTCCGTAAATTGCATTGGTGCCGTTTATTGCTGGGTATTTTTTAGGGCTGCTGGAACCTTTGAAGTACAAACGGAACAGGAATGCTGTCGGGTCGACCCTGTAGGCATTAGCAGAGTCCCAGCTGACCGCGGTGTAGCCACCAAACACGCAGTCCGACGTGTTATAGAAGACTGTGACTGTAGGCCCCTTGTTGTCACACTTCTGGTGGAAGGCGGTGTTGGAACAACCATCACGGGAAGCCTTGTACAGAAGTTCAAAGGCTTTCATTCCGTTCATCCATTTGTTCAGTTGTTTCTGATCCTTCTTCGTCAAAGTTCGTTCCATGATCTGATGTTGTAAAACACTAATCAACCACATGTTATTGTATAAAATGTTCGAGAGAAGTACCTGCCTGTAAGCCCTTGGCAAACAGATTTCGTCTAGGGACAGTACATTCAAAATGTTATGGGCCTATGTGGCCTGCAATAAATTTACATGTCTATTTTTATGTCACAACTAGCAAATGAGGGCCTGCAGCTTCAAAAGTCTATGTGGCCTGCAATAAATTTACATGTCTATTTTTATGTCACAATTAGCAAATGAGGGCCTGCAGCTTCAAAAGTCCCTGGAACCTGGTGGCAGCCTGGCACTGTTCTTTTATATTGCAAACACATATTGTATATGTGTCCGTTGTCGGTTTTAAGGAGATTAAATGCCGCGCATTAACAAAATATTCTCCCTGGTGTTGTGTACGGCAAGTCAAGCCTATCCATGATTTCATTTTACATTATTAAACAGAAAAAAGAGCCTTGAAATGATTTCACCTCTGATATCTGACATGCTTTCATCGATATGAGTTTGTGACATGTAACATCCCCACGGAAACAGAGACATATTGGACCAATGACAGACAGACAGACAGGCAGACAGACAATGTATTTTATGTAACTACATGTAGTTGGTGTGAGTTAAAAATCACTGTTAGAATAGATAACTGCACTTCAGTTAACACAAAACATTTTCCAAACATTTTCATAAGGTTTCAAAATAGTTTTTCAAAAACATTTTCGTCAAAATGTTTTGGAACGTTATAAAAATGTTTCACAATATTATTGAAATGTTTTAAAATGTTATTCAAAAACGTCATGCTATAACATGAGTGAAACTATTTCATAACATGTCATTGAAATATTTTTAAAACGTTGCAGAAATGTTGTGCACGAACATGTTTGATGAAATATTGTCATCACGTTTTAAAAACACTGTGCACACATTTATGACATATCATACAAATAATGTCTAAATCTTTCAAAAATACTGAAAATGTTTTTGAAATGTTTTCAAAATGTTGTTCAAAAACGTCATGCTATAACGTGTTTGAAACTAATTCACAACATATTAGTGAGATGTTTTTAAAACGCTGCAGGAATGTTATGCAAGAACATGTTTAATGAAATATTGTCATCACGTTTTAAAAACATTGTGCACACATTTATGCCGTATCATACAAATAATGTCGAAATCTCTCATAAATACTGAAAATGTTTTTGAAATGTTTTCAAAATGTTGTTCAAAAACGTCATGCTATAACGTGTTTGAAACCATTTCACAACATATTAGTGAGATGTTTTTAAAACGCTGCAGGAATGTTATGCAAGAACATGTTTAATGAAATATTGTCATCACGTTTTAAAAACATTGTGCACATATTTATGCCATATCATACGAATAATGTCTAAATCTCTCAAAAATACTGGGAAAATGTTTTTGAAATGTTTTCAAAATGTTGTTCAAAAACGTCAAGCTATAACGTGTTTGAAACCATTTCACAACATATTAGTGAGATGTTTTTAAAACGCTGCAGAGATTATGCAAGAACATAGTCATACAAATAATGTGTGATATCTCAAAAATACTGAAAATGTTTTTTAAATGTTTTCAAAATGTTGTTCAGAATCGTCATGCTGTAACATGGGTGAAACTATTTCATAACATATGATTGAAATGTTTTTAAAACATTGCAGAAATGATGTGCAAGAACATGTTTAATTGTGATCACGTTTTAAAACACGGTTTCTGTTGTAACGTTGGTGTGACATAAACAGTACATACACTGCAATCACAAACAATTATCTCACTCAGCCATGTTCTAATGTATGACTTGTCATTAAAGTGCCTTAAAACGTTCCTGAAATGTTTTAGCCGGATCTGTCATCACATTTAAAATGTGTTTTTTATTATGACTTGTTCTTAAAAGGGTTTTGAAATGATATCACACCTACACGTTTTGATAACATTTTTAAAATGTTGCGACACAATGCCTTATTGTTACCGCGGGAAATGACGTCGGAATGACGTCACCCATCACGTCATAATTTTGCACCCGCCATCTTAGTTGAAGTTTATTCAGGACCCTACCACCTTGTCATTCGACTCATGGTGCAACAACTGGAACTGGATCATCGATGTGACCTCGGTTGCGGTGAGTTAATTTTACAGTCATTATTTTCATGTTTATGTACATTTTGATATTCACTCGATTAAAATACTGTGTTACTCAAAAGTAGCGGGGTTTTGAGAAACGTGATTCAGTGTTCCAACAGAGAATCCCGGTGACAGGGTTTTTTCGACGATGTAAGACAAAAACGTAATTTTATTTTACTAACCTTGAGTGAAAAGGGATATATTTATCTATTTCACACCAAAAATATCAAGTGTTTCCTTCAGAAATAGCGTTGATGATATCTTATCGGCGAAACATCTCCACATCTGGGATTTGTATACATTTCGCTCCGCCATGCGAGTGAGTGTTGTGATCACTCACGTGTACTCACGTGTACGTGGCTTCCTGTTTATATCTGGTATATTGCTTGTCACCAGCAGACGACAGATCTTACAGATTTTTTGCTATATTTGGTTATATAGGCAATTGATTTGCATCTGAAGTGGTATTAACGATCTCGGGTAAATAATATTGATATTTTTGCATCCGCCCTACCAGTGAAACTGTTTGTGCACTCCGATCGCGAACGTAATCCCCCGATATAGCGCGAGCAATGTAATCGTCGAAATCACCAGAACATCGAATTCAGCTCGCTTTGGATAAACATGTATATTATATCGTTGTGAAGAATGTCTAAGAGAGTTTGTACCTAATTAATTTTATGTTACATAAATAAAAGGATAATTAGGCTATCAAGAGCGAGCAATATGTGTTCAAGCAGAGTTCAGTAAGGCGGTTAATGCCGCTATTACGTTCGGTTTTCGATCGTAAATGTATGCGCAAGCCAGTGGCCCTTATCGTTGTTAATTTTTTCCATGTTATTTCTGAAGGACATTTTCTTAATTTAACATTGCAGCTAATTTTCAATTTTTTAAACTATGACAATTTTGCTCGTTTAAGTCGTTGGAAAGTTGCGTCGATTTTGTACCACGAAAATGGGAATCGAAATAATTTCGAAATTAGTTTCTGATCCACTTGTGGGATAGTTACTGGCTGCCATAGTGTGTGTATGTTATAAAAAACTATTTCTTAACAGAAATGACAGACGCATTCTTGTTAATTAACACTGACTAAACTAAATGTTAAATGACCATCTGCTGGGTTGTCGGATTGTTGTTTGTCCACTATTACCGCATGTTTTCAAGTGCTATACTAAAGCAGAGACGATATAATAAATAATATTTATTATATGGTCTCTTATTAAAGGTACTCTGTTAACACTGTGTATTCTTAAATTTTCCCAAGACAAATTAATTGATCGGTTTTGGATAGATGTATTTCCCTTCTAGACAAGAGCCAGAAATAAACGTGTGGTCTACACTATAACGGGGCGTTGGCGATGACTAGTCCTCGGCTATGAGTTGTCACTGTATGGCCACTTGCTATACCACAGTGTATGGCCACAGACTATCACAATATATTGTCAGTGAGGTGATCAATGTTTGGTGATGATTTACATAAAAATATTGATCTAATTGCTTTTGCAGAAAGGATATATAAACAATGTCGAGGTTTGACACCAGTATATAAGTGACATCGTTTGAAACCGTGTTGATTAGGGTTTTTCATGGTACAGTATTCCATAGTGAAAATGGCGTGGTCTCAGTTTAGTAAATGTTGGACCAAATAAAGTTGTTACAATTCTTGGTGAAATGATGTTTCGGTGAAACCGAAAACATCGTGATCGAAAACTGAAGAATCTGGTTACAATGCTCGCAACGAAATCGTACTGCAGCTGCAACTGTTCCGCGTGTAAGGCTTGAATCATGTAGCTAGTTACAATAGATGTGTAATAAATCAATTCCAGTTTGGATTCTGGGCTAGAAACGCTCGCCAGTAATCCAAGTTTGTTGTAAATGGGCACCCACCAAAAGCTTGAGGCAATTACATAGTATGTTTCAGCTTTAGACTAACTAGAGCTACTTTATATGCTTTATGGAAAAACGGTTCAATTTATAACTTGTGATGTGGAAACATTGTTATTTTCATTGCAGCAAGGGCGAATATGAGACAAGCATTCCAGGATATACAAAACACACTGTTACACATGATGGATTTATGGGAGAACACATCAAATGATCCAGGAGCTGTGAATTATGTAAGTGCAGCTGTTAAATACCATTGTCTATACACATGTTGATATATTTTGGGCTTTTTATTGCAAGATTTGATTTGTAATTTTGTACCCAGCCTCTGACCAGTAAGTGATATTCTGTGCTTGCTACATCTTTGGTATTCAGCACGATTCTGGATATTATCATATCAATCATTACATTCCAATAGTGTGTTCATGTCCACCAAACACGTGTCTGTACAAAACGTGGTAGAAGACTTAGTCTCCTGGTTAGTGTCACTTGGTTTGAGTAAATATCACATTTCAAGTTCCTGCTTAAGATTATTGAAAGTTTTCTATATTTCAGAAATATGGATGACTGCAAAAAAGCAAAGAAGAAGATAATGAAACAAACTGAAAAGGTGTACACGTTTCCAGAATTATTAATAAAATTGTTGATTACAAGTCTGCCATTCTTTTATCTGTTTTGGTGTCCTTGTAAAGATTAACTATATATGTCCATAGGGATATATGTGTCGTTTAGAACAGCGTTAGAAAGACATATAGATGTATAGACCCAACCCTATTATATAGTAAAAGGGTTGAGTCTAGACATCTATATGTCTTTCTAACGCTGTTTCTAAGTGAGACACGCCCCTATGTATATGTCTAACTATTTGCCACAGACATGTTATGTACATTGTTTACTGTTAGTGTTCTACGTTTTGTTCCAGTGGTTTTACGTTTTAAACAAAACACCACCTAATTGTTATCAGGGCTATTCTATATGCTCTG